GAGTGCTGATGGGTCCCTGATAGAAAAATCAGTGTCTAAAAGTTTGAGGACGTGGAGATAGGCTTACTTGTTCCGCTTCCAAGCACAGCCTCAGCACCTGGGAGGAATACACACAGACCTTTAGCTTATACATCCATCAAGAGAGTTTTATTGCGCACTGTTATGCTTGGCTTGCAGTGAGCAGCCGTTCTTGAGCTTGAACAGCAGCTAGCTACATTTGCGGGCAAGAAGATATGAGCTGCGGATCGAGGAGAAGGGGGGAACGAAGAGACAAACACGTCACGCAAGATAGCACCATTTTTATCCAGGGCAGGGATTAAGTGCCTGATAATACTGCGCCGAAGTTTGGCCGCGCTCGCCCACATGCGTGGCCATATGTCTCATCTATGTCTCACTCTCCTTGCAACACGCCTTGTGCCTAATTTATCACACCTTCGCTGCTTGTCAACATGTATACTCTCTGTCTTCCAAGCCTCATCAACATGATACAGTCTAGCACCCACATACAACCATGTTCAATGAGCAGGTTGTACCAGACTGTGATTAAAATGTGTGGTTTAGGTATTAATTGAAAGTGCTGATATGTACACAGTCCTGCGGAGGATAGTACTCACGGTACACATTCTACACAGCTTCCGTACAAGTGCCCTGTTTCCGTACCTTTGGGTGTTCCCTGATGTATGGAAGTCCGAGCGAGCAATAACGTCGGAAATACCCACGGAGGAAGACATGGTCGGCAAATAAGGTTTCAAAAGTCTTTGCTGCAGCGTTGGGCGAAGGATGCGATCTAGCCTTGACAAGTTATGTCATTAATCATCATCGTAAATCTCAAAAATATGCGACTCACTTCCAAGTTCGGGGAGTTGTGAAGCATTGTCAACATGCGCGCCGGTGAAGGGACCTTGATCACGTCGAAGGTGTAGCTGATGGTTCAATGAGCTCCAAAAAGTTATGCCAAACGCCGCCGGTGCGATGACCGGTAACTGTTCGTGCTTCGCCGGCAATTCCGGTTGATCGTCTCTATGTTGTCGGTCCGTACCAGCTGTTGAGATTTCCTACGAAAATTTCGCAGCTTCTCTGTTACCCAAGACTTCGCGAGCTCCCGTGTTTTTCGCATGGTATCGGTTCACGATGGGGTAGTTCCGGACTATGGGGGAGTCGACCTTGTTACAGATAATGCAGCATTCGAGGCGCTGGTGGAGGATGATCCCGTCCATGCCCCTACGATAGCGCGAGGGCGAGCATGTCTGGGTTCCGATAGACAGGCCCAACAATCGCATCGAGAACCTCGTTGGGCGGGTGCTTGAACGAACACCGCCACTTGGTGACGCTAATGAACAACCTGAGGATGTTGAGCGAGTGCAGCAAGAGTAGTGAGAGCACGCACTCGTCGACAGCCGGCTTGTACGGGCATCCGCTGGGATGCGATGAGGATGGGGCGATGGGAATGGTATTGCTTGGGCTTTCACGTCCATGAATTCGTGGGCCGGCATCTATGCAGGGTCAGCAGCAGAGCATGAGTTTCTAAGAAGTCGCGCACCTACTGAGCCCTCGTCCTTGGGGATCTTCACGTCCACATCTCTGTCTCTCTACTCAGCCCTCTGCATTCAGTTCCTATGACCCCGCCTGTAATCGCCCAGAGAGCCCCTCGACGCCGCCCTCCGCGTGCTGCCATGGTCACTCTATCTGTCGGCCGCCTTCGCCGGCCAAGCGTCATTCCGTATCGCAGGCGTATGTCCTTCATCCACTGTCGAGTAGTATTATGCGGCAAGAGCATGGGCTTGTGTTGATGCTTGCGAGCACGCGCATGCGCCTTGTTGACTCTGAGAGCTGCACCGCGAAATGAAGGTATGTGAGGCGCATGATATCCCGCGAGCGAGGTCTACGCACGTCTTTAACTCCCGTTTTTGCCTTCATGTACAACACGGCCCCACCGCCACACCCGCACTGAGGACGATTGCTGGGCACCCGAGCGCTTTAGCGTCGTACAGCGTGTAGGCAAAGCCGTCTTCCTACTCGGCCCTCGGTGCCACACAAGACGCTCTCCATTGGCAGAGTATGGCGTGGAAATATTCAGTGGAGATGGTGAGATTGCGAGAGGTCTTGTTCGTCAGATCTCGGATGTTGTGCTCGTGCGCGGGGGCCAGGTATCTTGCAACCCTCCGGCGAGCATTGTGGAGCATCGTCGGAGCGCAAGAACTAGAGGAGCGACAAATGCGGCGGTCGTCAGATTTCAAGTTTCCAGCTACTAATGCAAGGCCCGCCGGATATTTGCGTCCGAGTCAGATGGGCATAGTATGTCAGAGCGAGGTGTGAGAGCTCTGAGGACGTGGTGACGCGAGAGGGCAGAGGCGCAGTGCGTCGACTAGTACGAGGACTAGCGAAGAGGTTGTTGCAATCCGTGTGGCGCCGAGCCATCGTTCTTCTGGGCGGCGACCGAGATCGACATGCAGGAGTGTAAGCAGACGGAGGTAGTGCTCGGAACTCGGAGACGAACAAGCGGCAAACGCCACAAATCTCGCGCCTAATTGAGCTATGAGCTGTATGAGTATAGCCCGCACGACGTGAGAGAGCAGAGCGCAAGGCATACGAGCGGGCCTCATCCAGCGCGGGGCGCTGGGCAAGTTGAGACCTGGGTGGCATCGAGTGATGAACGGGCCTGGCAGCGGCGGAGGCCGACATGCGAGTCGATGGAGGTGGTGGGAGAGGAGCAGCCTGCAGACGCTACACAAGCTGGGCCTGCGAGTTCTCACGTGGGCATTACGGCGAACGACCAGACCTTGAACACCGCACTTTCGCCTCGCCTCTAGAGCTCTCGTATAACTCCATTGCTTGGCGGCTCTGCAAACCACATGGCAATATTGTGCCTCGTCGGTCATAACGCCTTTGTGCCCTTCCTGTCTAAACCGGCCTCTCCACAACCGGTATGCTCAAGTGACCCGGCGATACAGCTTTCCGGCAGCGTCGCGCCAGCTCGGGACACTGCTTGAAGAGCATGAGAATGAGAAGATAAAGGCGAAATCCAAATCCAGGATCCATTAGATATATAGCAGATAGCTGTGTATAACACTCAGGATCGCAATGAAATGCTCATCAATAGGCTACGGCAAGCATAAAGTCAGTGCATACAAGGGTGCAAACATGGCGAGAGGATGCACAGCATAGCATAGCAAGCACGGCAGGGGCGGCGAGCCGCGCAGTCGCTGACGTTCTCACACCCTTTCCGGTCGTACTATGCTCGTTGAGGCATCACTTGCTGTCATCATTCGTCTAACGACCTCTTCGTACTCGTACTTCGCCTCCCTGGCCATGCGCAGGAAACGAGAAGAATATCATCATCCACCTCCCGAGACATCCACTCGGAGGCAGCACTAGTACTGCGCTCACGCAGAACGAGTATGCCACGCCTGCACTCCACACGGCCTCGTATTGCCCGCGAGAATGAACGCATCGTTCGAGGATCTGGGCGCTGCTGAGAACGTCAGCACTTGGTGGCCCGCGTCACGATAGTGCAACAGCGGGCAACCAGAGTACGCGTCATAGAGTTTCAGCAGAGAGAAATCTCATAAAGTAACAACGCGCTGATAGTCCCGTAGTTGCTACCGTGGTAGTCGAAGTATTTGACATTGATATTCATGATGTAGTTCCGACTGGAGGTCAGCCACCATGGGAGGGATGGCCGCTCGCCTCAGCGCGAGACCAAGATAACCGCGCTGACGGAACCGCGTCCACCCGTCGTTGCGAGCAGAGTAGTCAATCGTGAGCGAGCTCATGACTACCCTTGCGCACTCGAGCGACACGTTGAGCGAACAGGGTCGGGCTGCCGACGAGTACACCTGCGTTCACAGGCGAAAGAACACTAGTAGCGAGCAAAGCGCGGGCATTTCATTTCTCGATCGTAGGGGTCATTCCGGTAGCAGCTTCGTGCATCTTAAGATTGTCATCGAGCTTGACAATCGCGCCGTCGCCAAGGATAAGACAAGGGTCATGGGGGCCGCACGGACGAAAATGACGAACAAGAAAGCCTACACGGCGACATCAGCGTGCAACATCCCGACGCGGTTGAGTACGGCTTACGCTGCTCATGGTGTAGAAACGGCGCTGATCGCGCCGCCACGAGTTTTGATGGCGAAGGCCATCAGAGTCCCACCGAGCCGACAGAGGGGTAGAACGCGCCGAACACCTTGACCATGTCCTTTTGCAACGAATATCCCATTATGATGGATGACAGAGGGTCGATATCATAATGAAGATGACGCCATGAGAATGAAAGATTAGCAGGTGTTCTGCAATTCGAAAATGCGCAGCTGAGGTGCAGACTTGTAGTTGGCGTCCACAGAGCCCACAGAAGGACGTTGAGACGCCGGCCGAAAAGGCCGAGAGCTTCATCGGGAACTATAGGGGCAGCGATGGCGCGGACCTGCAGCGACTAAGGCGTCGAGTAAGAGATTTAGGCTCAGAACGTGTAGGACGGCGTGAGCGGAGAGGAAGGTTGCAATGATCCCTGTGGCGCTTGGAACTGTTCACAGCGCGGACCAAAAGCTGGGCAGAGCGAAGAATGCGAGGGAGACATGGTCGACGACGGCGCTCGCATAGTATTTACCGCAGCGCGAAACACGGCTTCCTGTCAAGGTCTGACTGAACTTTAGTCTCATCGTCGTGAATCTCTAGCAGTATGTAGCTCACCTCCAACTGTCCGGACCGTCGTTCAACATAGTCGATAGGCGCCAGAATGAGGCTTTTGTTGCGCCAAGGACATGGAGAGTGGCCACCCTGAACAGAGCAAAGATTAAAGACTGTTCGCACTCCACGAGTATTCTCACCATCGTTCGCTGACTCTAGACTGGTGGCAGTTGGCAGGGTTCTGCACCCCGTGTCTCTTCCGCAGTAACCCCTCGCCCGAGACTTCGAAGACGCATACATCGTGCATGAGAGGTCGGTTGAGGACTGAGCCATCCCGGAGCCTGAGACAGCTTGTCTTGCCGCCGGTAACAACGCGCTCGAGATGGCCATGAAATATAATCTTTTTCATGTATTCATACGGAAGCGTGATCGTAGGCGAATAAGTCCCGCCTCGAGCTGACATGGCCAACGACCGCGTCGAGCGGCTCAGTGCCAGGCTGGCGTGTGGGGTGGCGGGCGCTGCGACCCGGCGACGCTGATGAAGGGTTCGACGACGTTGAGGAATTACACCATCAATAATTCGACCTTGGCCGGTATCCGCTGGGATGCGTCGGGAGGGACACGCTAGGTGTGAGGAGCGCGGTGCGCGCGATGGGTGTGTTCGTGCGACTACACACTAGAATGTTCATTTCAACGGACCGCAGAGTCTTCGGGTAGGCGGCTTGCTTGTTGCAAAGCAATCCATCCACGCGGACTGTAGTCGTTGGAATTCGTCGCGCGTGTATCTATGGGCCTATCTCTGTTTAACGTCAATAACGTAGCATGTACGCGTCTGAGTAATGCGCGCACCGGCTGGATTATTCTTCTCGGGGGCCACTCGCGCCACCGTTCCCATCTCTCCGCTCTGCCCTCGTTCTCAATCTCCTCACGCAACTTCTGTCCCCAGGACCTGTCCGCTTCCCCGGTTAACCCAACCTGCTCCTCCGCACCAGGCCTTGCCCACTCCTCGATTTACGACACCTTCGCGAGTGTAGAATTTTTTTGGATTGTCGTAGCGCAGACTTCGTTTTCTGGCGGCGTGGTTGTGGCGCGGCCATTTTAGTCCTCACAAACCCGACCATGCGCTCTGCAAACTCTGTTCTATCGCGCGCCGAGATAGAAATGAAGCTCAAGAGATCATCGGAAGAGGGAAAACACACACCTTCGGCATATAAGCTTGTCTTCACTCTCCATGTCAATGCCGCTGCCTCGTCGTGACGACGGCCGCCGCGTACCCGAGCAACTTCGCGCCGCGCACCATATAATTGAGGTCACCATCTGGCTTAGCCTTCGACGCCACTTATTCCAGTGTCCTCCCCATGGGCCTTGACGTGAGTACTATCAGTGTGGTTGGTGAGACGACGGCTTCAACTGCTCCCAGTTTCGCGGTCCTATGAAGAGGCGGTAGTGCGTCTTGCAGGGCTCTGTTGGGGAGCGTGTAGTATAATCGGCGCAAGAAAACTACCAGGAATACGCTGTCGAAGTCATCCAGTCCTTCATTCAGAAGCTAAGAGACGACGCCAGGGCAGAGGATGAGACGCCGAGTACGACGCGTGAATGCAGGGAGCAAAGCATGACAGTAAGACTGGGAGTTAGGATGAGAGGGGCCCTGAGCCCGGCGACATGGAATCATCGACAAGCTCGGCGGCGGCAGAGGTCGACATACGGGCTGACGGAGATGGTGGCTGCGAAAAGCAGCCTGCAAGCGTCACAAAGGTCGCGCCCTATGTGGGCGCTAACGACCTAGGACCTCGCCGCCGTCTCTTTGCTCCTCCTCGACCTCTCAACGCCTGATGCACTTTCAAGATCCCGAGGGAATCGTGCACTAGGTCGCGATACCTGCAGAGTTCTGGCGGCGGACGGCACCTCGTGTCTTCCGAGTAGACTATTATTTTATGCCTGAGGCCTGAACGTTGAACGCTAAACTACTGTATAGCCAGGCTTGGTGATGGTTAGGCACCAGTTTCCCGAGCGTGAGCGCGATATGGGCGCATCAATCCGAAATGGGACGGAAGCGCGACCCGTCGCTCATGGCGCTCGCGGGCTGCGGACAATTTCTGTTCCAACTCCGACCTCCATCGACCCGTATGTCGATTTCCGCCGTCATTATATAAGCCTGTCGATAATTCAATATCATGCGGCCTCCTATACCGGGTTCCAGTCTCGCTCATACGCTTTGCTCTCCGCTCCACCCGTACGTTTTCATCTCTCCTTATGATCTCCTAAGTCTCATCTATATCTTGTCGTGCAAGCAGGGCAGTTCGCAAAACCGTATGACTGAGTTTACGAAGACTGAAGTGACTGCGTCGCGGTCACGCATACGCCATCTGCCAGAGAGCGAGGTCCACACTACGGCAACGCGACACATGCAGAGCACCGTATGCTGAAGCAATCTAAGGAAGGAACGGGTGAAGCCTGGGGCGGAGAAGCCAATTGAGGGACAGGAGAGAGGCGAGTTCTAGGGCTGGGCTCAGGCAACGTTTGAGGAGCCTGAGGCAGAGGGCAGAGCGGAGACGATAACTGTGGTACGCGCAGCCTTCTAGAAGAAGAGATTGGCAGATGTGCGTACTTTTCAGAAGCATGCATGTTACATTATTGACATAGACCAGAGATAGAGTCTACGAATACATGCACGACGAAAGCAGGACAGGACGGCTCCAATCTGCCCAGATGGGCATGCTGCTTTGCATTCCTCCGCAACAGGTAGGCAGCCCGCTCGCCCGTCAAAATGAACGTCTCGGCGGATGACCAAACGGACCCGTTTATCGCGCTCATCGCGCTCTTCGGGCCCAGCGTCTTGCTCTCGACGCGTCTCAGCAGATGCCAGCAAAGGTTGTACCTCCGACGTTGCACATCCTCGGTGCCGTTATATCCGCCGTCAACATCGCCAGGCCGGGTCGCAGCATCCAACACTTCAAGCACCAGCACAGTGGGTTACTTGACGCGGTCGTTGGCCACGTTAATCTGAAGCGAGACTTACTCGCCTACGAGCACACTTCTGTATCAACGCATGAACTTGATTGCAGCCCCTCGGTACTTCGACCTCGGCGTCGTCCGTGACAAGATGGACTGTCTCAGACCCCGGGATGGCCTCGCCCTTAATCTATCCCTTGTGTGCAGCGTACGCGTCTTCGAAATCTCTGACGAGGAATGACTGCGGAAGAGTTGTGGCATTAATGCAGAACCTTGACAGCCGCCACCAATTTAGAGCCTGCAAACGACAGCGGGGACGCTCGTGAAGTGCGAGTGGGCTTTGGTTGCTCCGTTTAGGGCGGTCACCCAACGCTCGATGGATTACTTCCCATATTTTCGGCGCAACCAAAGTGTCATAACCGACGTCTATCGACTATGCCGAGCAGCTATCCAGATTCGGCGGTATGTCGCACGCTGCTGAGATCTGCGACGACGAGATTGACATTCAGCAGAACTTACAGCAAGCAGTGTTTCATGGCGCGGAGAAAATTACCTGAGCGCCGTTGGCGACCCCTGCGGACACTGGTGGGACCTTCGCTCGCTCGCCTTGCCATTGTCGCTCGTTAGGCGAGTTCTGGATGGGCTTCTCGACCTCTTTGGTCGAGAACCCAATGTCCCCCTGCGAATTCGGGAGAACAAGTCGCACGCTTGGACTCTGCCGCGCAGCTTCCAAACGCAGGGCCTCTGTTCGTCACGCGGATGGCAGCGCTCTCGTCTGCCTAGAGATCAAAGCTCCATCACGACGAGACATCCCCATGAAGTGAACAACGAATAAAACTCAACGTGTCCTATGTCCCATCAACTCAGCATCGTCATTTACTCTAGCTTCTCTCCCTACCGCCACAGCATTCGCAATTCGTCGCCATCAATGCAACTATCACCTCGGTCGCTGAACTCCCGCAGCAGGTCACTACCACCTTCGACTGCAACGACGTCAAGGATCAGGGCAGCAGCCATCTCAGCTCTACGGCGACGATAGCTACCGGTACGAACATGCGCTGTGTGCTCCCGTGAGATTCTCTCTGCTGTACATCCAAGGCGTGAATGCTGATATGGTGTCCGTGCAGACCGCATCTGCGACTATCGGACACTCCCTTTCTGGATCTTGCTCCCGCTTCTGCACGATTTGTTCACGCTCGTGTATTTCGCAGCAATCTACGAAGTCATGCAAAGGACAGGTTCATTGGATTTGTTCAGGACAGACCTGGTACTAGCGCTGCTAAACGAATCTCGACCAAGAGTTCAGGGATAGGGAACGTCGTCGTCGCGTTATTTACAGCAATAGATAGCAGATGTACTTTTTGGCATAATATGGACGGCGAGGCAAGATCGAGATGGAAAGTATACATGCAAATTGGAACGCGCGATAAACAATGGCCGCGCTCTTCGACGCCGGTGTCAGGCGACTTGACAACCAGTAGCTATCGACTATCGCGCATTATGGCTTGGCCATACATTGGGATCTGATCGAATGAGCGTACGTCAGCCGCCGTGGCAAAGCGTGAAACAGAGTACTCACCTAATGAGTGGATGTAGAAGGCCCCGCCACCATTCTGCCCGAGTTAGCGGACGATCCGACGATGCCGCCTTCGCTTGCACGTTCAGCGGCTTGCAACATAAGATCGGCGCCGGATTCCATTGGGTTGTCCCGACGCGTAAACGATGGACCCGGCAGATGCGTGAAACTTCCCCCTTCGAGTCCGTCCCATGACTCTTCTGCCGCACTGCTTCCGTCGTTGTCATTGTCTTCTACTCGCTCTGATTGGCCGTATTCCAGAGGTTCGCCAATATTCCCGAGGAAATCCGAAGGCACCCTGAAGCTGACGGAGAAGCGGGAGACTTGCTGTGCATCCGAATTGCTTTCACTGGTGGCATAATCAAGCTGACGGAGGTTTAGCATGAAACGCTGCACCAGCAGAGGGGGCTGTAAACGAGGATGATTAGCCAATGAATATCTGGGACAGCTCGTAAAATTGTCACCATAAATTGAGTGAAGGTAATCGCATAGTTTCCCTGTAGACAGATGATCAGAACTACCCAGAATAGAAGAATGTTTCAGCACTGATCACCCCAGAGAGGTTGCTTTCTGTGAATGTGAGGAGTTCCAGAATATTCATAGCTAGAAGTACACTGGAATTATATGTATCATATAGAGCGTTCATAGTGTCAAATAGCTTACAGAAAATACAGGGTGCCTGAAAGAATGCTACATGAGTTGCGTCGCACTTGCGTGGGAGGCTGAGCTCGAAAGAGAGATCAACTTGCCGTCTCGGAGCAGCACACCTGAAATAGATAGGCTGAACTGTAGCCGTCGCATCTGCTTGAACTGCTTGAATGACTTGATCCATGTTAGCACAAGGACGATGACGTCAGCAGCGATCAAGCTGCATCTTGTGAAATAGAGCACTGGGCACATGCACATAATGATTAAGAGTGCACATATGAGCAACGAAGGCTCACTCCTGACAAAGACAATCAGCATAGAAAAAAAATGCAAAAATTCTGCCTGTACTCTGTGTTCAGCTTCGGCGGGATGTTGGTAGTTGCGCTGCATGTAGTGAGCAGCGGAGTGTCCACGTAAGCGTCCACGGTGCGTGTCCATTGAAACTGGACGCAAATTAGTATAGATGATCTGTATAACTCCTGAGAGAATGGCGCACAATGTTTTTTCCTACTGGAACTACTCCTAGTATGAGTGGGGCGGCAAGACAGACATATTTAATCGGTGAACCCTGCCAGAGTGCGTATACGCGCAGAGCAGAGAACACTACATCAAGTATCAGCATGATTTCCTACAATTCAATAGTGGGTATACCGTTAGCACGCACAAGATACCAGGACGGTGCTCATAAAGAACACAAGCCTGTTCAGTACATATCCTGGTCTGCACCTTGTGATGGATATGATGACTTGCGGTGAGAGAAAATTCTACCGAACAGAGTGAACCTCTGTAGAGCGGTACCATAAGTTCAATCCATCCTCGAGCATCAGCGCGGACTCACACCATGATTGTGTCGAGGGTAAATAGGAAAAAATTGGGCCTAGAAGCATTATCCATCGAGTGGCGAGCAGCAGCATCGAGGAGATAGTTAACTTCTTCTTCCACACCGCCGCGATTTCTTGATTGAGGGTTATAGTGTATTCGTAAACTATAAAGCCTAAAAAATGCTCAGCTCAGCGCCACCAGGGCTTTTGAATGCCACAACATACACAGCACCGAGGTTTCCACATAGTCTATTGTCAGCCTAGGTACATATGGCGCATGTCAGTGGCATAGTGTGCATGCCCCAAGGAGAGAATACTCGTACGCAGATAGAGCCTCCTGCTGCAGTTCTCCAGTTGACTGAGACATGTCCCGTGTAGACTGTTGTGCGCTAGGAAGGTACAGGCTGGTCTGTCAGACTCCCCAGGAACGCATATACCTACAAGATATATATACCATTACCTATCTGGCTGCTCGGCGTCATCGTCGTGCACATCTACCCGAAGCAGAATCAGAGTTCACTAGTAGCCTATCGCTTGACTCCGTGCAGAGTGGAAGACGCGCAGAAAAAGTTCTTCTAGCGCAGGCCGAGACATCTGGGGTGGCACGGAGATGAATCAACGCGTGTGATGGACGTGAGTTTAAGTTGATTGCAGCACACTACCTTGATTGTTCCGGCGATGCCTTGCGCAGTGCACATCCACGGATAAACCCAAGCTTCTCAGAGATGAGATGGACAAAGCTGTATAAGCTCTTCCCATTGGCGCTCCCGGTAGCTTCATCTTTGATATGGTCGATGACCCTGTATCGTTGCATTGCCCGTTGTCAACTACGGCTGATAGATTACAATGATGAGGCATACGTCTCCAGTGCTCGCTAACATCGCTCTCTGTTGGTTAACCAAGTGTGTGGAAATTGGGAGAAGTTATTTAGTACGGCGTTAGGGCGTGTGCGGAGGCTGTAACTTGTCGTACAGACACCATGTAACTGAATCGTAGAATGAGCAAGATTTTATTCCGCACAAAATCACTGACAAAATTCTAAACTTGTGGCCCACGCACCAAGCTCGGCGTAATGACTGTCGGCGTGGTGTTGTCGCCCGGGCGGAAGATGATGCTCAGGAAAGGGGTACCACTCGCACTAGACTACACAGACAAGAGGCTGCCTGTCATGATATGAAGCTGGAACGGAATGAGGGAGACGTATCATTGTGAGACGGTGAAAGACGAAGTCGCCTTTGACAGTAAGGTTAACACTGATCTGGAGGATGCGGCGAATGCAGGGCGCAAGCGCAGCAGATAATCGTAACATTATGAAGCTCAGGCTCTTTTTATCCCTTGCAGAAGAGCAGCGCAGAGACGGTGCCAGCGAGTAGAGCCCGGTGAAAGAGGATTGCGACGAGTATGGTAACATCATCCAGAGCTGAGATATAGCGTCTGGGCTTGGTTTGCTGGCTACTGAGCACGTAGGTCTAGCCGTAGAAGTGCCAGCAGCCTGTGGATGGGTGTAGGTATTCGCGAAAAATGCGACAGGCCTGAGAGGTGGCGGCGCGAAGAAGGCGGCAGGCTGAGAAAGCGCGATGACTCACGTAGCGCGGGCTTTGTGGCGTTTGCAGCCTTTTCAACCACTCCCGCATGTCGACCTCTGCCGCTGCCCAGCACGACAATAGCTCAATCATGCACATGCTGCAACTTTATCTTCATTAAGCCTCTATCTCACTGGTACGCTGCGCCTCTGCTCTCAGGCTTGCGTGTCGCCGCGCCAACTTCTCACACCTCGCTCAGACATACACCCATCCGGCGTGGTGACCGGTACTGCGAGTGTTGAAGCTTTGGAGCTTGAAATACATTACAGTTTTAACTTCTTCATTTTTTTAACTTCGGCACAGTCACCGTTTGCCGGTGCCTCTGCCAGCACCAGCAATGGCAGCGTCGACCTTTCGGGTGCGGAGACGTTTGACATTGAGCAGAACGGCAAGGTCTTGACTTCCACCTCAATTTCGGGCTCGAACGTTACCGTCACCTACATGTAGAACAGTGCCGTAAGATAATTGTATCTCTCTAGGAAATCAGAGCATAGCATAGGAGTCGCTGCTTGTTAGCCTGCACGTGTAACTTTGAGTCCCGCATGATCTCCGTCAGCGGAACCGATAACTATTTCGGACCCCTGCGCCTTATCGAGAGTCTTCCGTCATCCTGCCGCTGAGTGATTGCAATACACCCGGCAGCTTGCGATACAACAGGGCCGGCGGCAGCGGGAGTGATGGCGCTGCCCAAAGAGGGCAGGGGGATTTAGCGCTTGTGTCGCAAGCTGGGTGAATTGCAGTCATTTGCTCATTCACCTGTCGCCATCGATCCGCACATATCTCGAATACCACCTACAAACCCGATAACTTCTCGACAGGCCCAGTCAGAGCCTCCCCTACGCCAAATTCCAGTCTCACCCATATGTTTTGCGCTCCGCTCTTTCGTGCTGTATCGCCAGGCCTCTCATATCCCGCTTTGACACCTCTTAGCTTGAAATCCACGAACCCTTAGCCTGGATAAGTATCGCATCCGCATTCTCAGTGGCTCTACTGCGCAGCCGCTGCGCGATGGCACTCACTAGGGCGCTCCAAGACGTCTCGGGAGCAAGCAAAGCCAACACCCCACCCCACCCGTCGTAACCACAACATTCGTGTCAAGCTCTGTCAATAAGATAGCAGATCACGCGCCACTCCATGCGAGATTAGAGGGCGGTTTAGCCATGCTGTTTATGGTGCGAAGACGTTTGGGCACGCTGGTCATCATGGCAAAGTAGCGACGTTCGTATGGGGCGTGAAGACGTACAGACGCGCCGCAGATGTGCGCCCTTTCATCTCATCATGTGCATGAGTTCGTGAAATTAATCTCCTCCCCATTGTGCGGACAGATCAGCTTGCAAGGGGGTTCGTGAGACCGAGACGGCTGAGCCATCGCCAGCCGCTGGGAAACGGATTACACTGTGACGGTACGAATGGGAGACTATGCACGCGCGGAAGCATTGTGTTGAGAGAAGCGCGTGAAAGAGTTGAGCCAGGACTGGCTTAGGGAAGCACATCGAAGCGATTCGCAAGTGGGACGAGTTCCAAGGCTGGGCGCGGCGACACTTGAAGAGTTTGAGGTGGAGAGCGAAGGTCTAGGGTCGAGAACGCCGGTACAAATAACCCTCAAAAAGAAGGGTTCATCAGGTGAGCGCATTACTCAAACGTATCTGCGCTCTGATATTGATCCTGCTTAGAGACAACTCTCTTGGAAACATGCATGACGGAAGCTTAACGACCCAGTCTGCCTCGATAACTGGTTTGCTCTACGACCGCTCTGTGGCTATCAAGCTACCTCTGTCAGGCACAGTAATGCTCTCGAGGCTGTGCGCTCTGTCGAAGCGAACGTCTCGACGTAGGACATCACGGACGAGCTTACCGCGCTCGACACGCTTCTCGAACCTCTCTTGTTGCTCCCAACGCGTCCCAGTGGCCATCAATAAAAGTTGCACCCCAAACGATGGGTCTCCTCAGCCTCGTCGAACCCGTTATTGTCACCAAGTCCAAGCGCCCGTCACCTCATGTGCCAGACCACCGAATAACCCAACGCGATCGTGGGGCGTGTCGAGTCAAAGCGTGACATGCTCACTATGATTGCGCTCCCGTGCAGGCAGACCGAAATGACTACGCTTCCTTAGCACTTCTGAGTACCGCATCATCAGGCGCGAAGTCAGCCAGCCTAGACCTTGGAATTATCTCATCGCCAGTCCAACTTTCGCGCGCCACGAACGCGTTTTCAGTGTCTTCGGAGTCTTAGTCGAGGAGCTGCTGCGGAATCATGACAGCCACCATCAGACTGCGCAGGCGATGGCCCGGGAGCACTCGTGGAGCGCGGCGGTACTTGGTATTCGCTCTGTTTCTTATGGCCGTCGTGCGCTCGCCAGTCACGAACGGTGTCTTTGACGCAACCATCGCCGGCGTTGGACATCCCTCTGAGCTTGACAGTTAGTTGTACACTGCTGAGATTGCGTCGATGACTGATGTGTTACTGTAGCTCTACAGGCAGGAAGCCATGTTCTACGCCGCAGCGAAGGCTACCTGAGCGCCGTCGTATCTCTTCCATTGCGGGCGCTAATGGGACCTTTGCCCGCTCACTTCGTCAAATCTCTGGCTACCTATCGCGGGCAATCCCTGGGACCACAGCGACTCTCTTCTATGTCCATGCTGGTTTGCATTCTCGAAAGTGGATTTTTCGGTCGGTGCAGTTGGGGCTACGGGCCCACATCCCCGCTACTCGCAGAGGAACTCCGAATGAGATTTTCGACCTCCTCTGCCGAGACCTTGATACCGTTGAAGGCACGTTGAGTATTCTCCTCGGCCCATTTCGTGAAGATAACTCGACACGATCAATCCCTGGGCGGCGGATCATAAGAATACTGCCGTGAACCAAGGAGAGTTATAAGCCCGTGACTTGCAACTTCGGCGTTCGCCAACTTCCAGCGGTAACCACCGGTGTTCGCCGGTGGCCATTGGTGTTCGCCGGCGGTCCTTGCCATATACGGGTGCGTCACTGTGAGCGCTTGTGAACACCACCGTTTGTTGTCCACTGGAACCCATCGGAATACAGCAGCAACTGGTGAATATTGCTGTGTATCAGTGGCAAGTAGTGGGGTATGTTGGGATATACCAGTGTTCAGCATGTTATGCTGGCTGCCACTGGTATTTGGTCCGGTCGATTCACATGGCAGGTGGCAGACACCACCAAACACTGGTGACATCCACTGGCAGGCAGTGGCCACTATCCATCAGCATATGCTGTTTATTGTTAGTATGTCATTGAATAATAATTTTTGGCATTTTTCACTGGTCTTTGGGCAAAAGTGTGTGACATTGGGCCATGGTGTGTGACTTGCTTTCCAGGTTGGGCTAACTCTCATGAACAAATTGTTTTAAGACTAGTATCTGGCAGGTTTGGTCTCATGCTTTGTGCATAGATGGCTTATATTACACATATTATCACTCAGAAAATATACATTTACCTGAGAATCACAACAACAAGGTTCATAGCTGTTGAAATATTAATGTGACTGCTGGCAGCCTGCCCCCACTGCCTGATAGCTCATTCCTGAGCTTATAGAAAGTTTATAAAAAATCTCAGGAGCCTCTAACCAGGTCTGTGTAGTTTAATATGCTTCAAAGAATTACTTGCAGCTGCTTCCACTTGGGGACACATCCGGCAATCAATTTTACACACCTTTTGCACTCAGACAGTGTACCGCGTAGAGACACTTCAGTGAGAGCTGAGTTCTGGGATAGTGCACAGTTCAGAGGAGAATAGGCATCTATACAGATGCCGGTGGCTAAGCATGTATTGAGCTTATTACAGAAAAATATTTGTATCTATATTGGTACTTGATAAGCCAGTGGCTTCAAGCAATGTTTGATGCAAATTGCTGGTGATGTGTGCCAGTAGCCGGTGGCAACCTGCGAAGCCCAGTGGGATCCGGTGTGTTTCACTGCCGCCCACTGTTACTCACTGATACCCACCAGCCAACAGCAGCAGCCACTGGAGACTAGCACTGGACTTCACTGGATACCAGTGGGTGCCAGTGAGTACACCCCATATTCAGTGGAATTTGGTGTAGTTGTCAGTCCCGGGCATATTACTGACCAAGGACAGCGCCCGTGACAGTGGTAACCTGGCGCGTGCCCTGTATCTGGAAGCTGCAGGCCGATATGAACAACGCACCGCTTGTATTCGCGTATACGCAGGGTTCTGACAACTCAGCTCCATCGTTGGCTCTGTCATTTTTTTGCTTTCAATGTTCGCGGCAGGAGGCTTAGTGCTGCCTCTACAACTGCCTGCATCGTGAGTCGCTCAAAATCACGTTGATCTTTCTCATGGGGAGACTGTTTTTCAGGCTTTGCATATCGTCATGCTCGCTGGCGTACTCTCTGTAGTTCTGGTTTCGATCGTTGTCCGTGACGATGGCGCAATCTTCGAGCTTGTCAACAGGTTCAAGCCTGCTGGAAGGCCATCGGGGTAGATTCTCTGTCGAAATATTAGCGCGCACCCTGCTTTCTGCTCATGTCTTCTGTGCCCCGGCCCGTATGCTCAACGCGTTTCTCGAGGGCATGGACGCGACCGCCGACGCGATCGTGGTCGACTTTTTCGTCCTTCTTCGATAGGAAGTGAACGTTGTGCTGCCGACGCGACCGCGCCGATCATGCTGTCGTTGCCATGAAGGCGGCCGTCATCTCGGTCGCTGAACTCTCGCGGCAGACCTGCTAACACCTTTAATCCTAGCCACGCCAGGAATCACGGCGGCAAGCGTGTCAACTATAGCGGTCTGACTGCAGGGGCAAGCAGAGACAAGGGCGCGCCTTTCTTTCCATGCGAACTCCTCTACTATACCTCCAGAGTACAACGTTGACGTGGTACCTATGTAGACAGCTATTGTACTAATATTTACCCTCTCTGTCAAACTACCTACTAGCGCTCGCGCATTCTGCGGGGCCGTGCAAAGGGCAAGTTCTACAGGCGAGTTTGTAACGTACGCGATATCGGCGTTGTGGCTAAGCGAGCATCATTCAACCTCCTAGGGATAAAATGTGCCGTGTTATCGTTCTCAACAATGAATTACCAGTATATGTTCCGGTGAAATACAGGCAACAAGGGCGAGATTGGAATGAATGATACATACGAAACCAGGGTGCAATAAATAAGGAACGGCCGTCTTCGACACCGGCGTCAGGCAGCCCACCAATCGGCAGCTACCGATCGTCCTCATTTAATTTCATGGCTTGGCTATATATCATACTCTGAGTAAGCGTACGTCAAGCCGCCGTAGCGAGGTGTAGAGCGGAGTACTTGCCTAATATGCAGTCGTAGAAGGTCCGGCCACCGTTCCGCGCGAGTCGAGAACGACCCGCTAATGTCGCTTTCGCTTGAGCATTCGGCGGACTGCAACGTGAGAGCGGTGCCGGGTTCCGTTAGGTTGTCCCGATCCGCAAACGACGGGCCCAGCTCGTTTGCGAGACCCTTTTCGAGTCCGTCCCGTGTGGGTAAGTCTACGATACTTTCGTTACAGCAGCGGGCCCACAGCATATTGCATCTTTGGAACAGCTACGATAGCCATGCTGTCACCCGTCAGTGCTTGGCATGCTTGCGAGACCGCTGCGCTGAAACGGCGACTCGGAATTCTCTCCGGATCAGTGTGGTCATCTTAGCCGATCCCCGCCTCTGTTGCGCCGTTGAGCGATTCGCTAACGCCAAATTCCTCGCAGGCGAGCTTTAAAACTCTCTAAGTTTACCACTTGCTCCTGTAGAGTTGCAACCATGCCCGCTACCGAGACTTCACCCGCCGCGGCCTCTCCCGAGCCCCTCAAAGCACCTTCACACACTCCCGTATTGCTTGCTGAGTCTGAGCTGGTTCCTTTGCCCTTTCGCAGCCGCGGCGCACAGCCCTTCAATGCTCAGCCCTCTCGCGTAAAAATCTACAGGGTAGTCGAGGTGCCAGTCACGCGAGCAACGTCCCGTCCTCCCCGCGTTAACACTGGTAAGAAGCCGCGCGCATCGCCATACGAGAGGCCTGCTAGTACGAAGAAGGTTTCCGTCCAATGGGCGTCCGCTCCGCCATCCAATTCTCGTCAACCGTTGCCCGACAGCTCAGGGTCGGCGCCCCCGGCTGGGGATGACAACAATCTCAATGGGCCCACCCTGGAATTGATTCCGAAGCCTCTTGGGGAGGCCGGGCGTCCGGGACGTTGCGGCTACAACCTTGGAACCTCACTTAGGGCGATTGGCTGGCCTGGCGAGGACGTTGACAGGCTGAAGGTGTGTACTAATCTGTGGTCGTGTCCATGACTGTAGTCACACCCTACAGAGCAGCGTAGGTCTTGCAGTTGAGAGGCATCTTGACATCACGATGTGCTATATGAAACAACTGCCCGCTGCTCTCAAGAGAGCGTGTGAAGACGCAAGTAAGCATTATTATGTGTCATATACTGTTCATAACCTTGATGTGCAGGTTTTGGCTGAATTTTATATTCTTGAAGCTTACGAGAAGATGTGGCCCATTGAGGATGTTATCAAAGCAAGGCTCAAGTACACGTCCTGCCGTGCGCGCCTAATTGATCGCCAGAAGAAGACCTAGGGCACCCGGGATGCTGTAAGCCTACTCTTCACAAATCTATGCTCTGGACCATAGACAGACTGCTTTGTCCCTCAGCTTGCATAAATTAACATTCTTTGAATCATCTTTCACTATCTCGCTGCCGTAGCTATCACTACTAGACTATCGTTACCTCCTGCCCTCATAATAATGCCTGCTGCTTAGTATGTATCTCGGCAATTCAATGCACTCTGACATTTCGTATGACCGCAGGCTCGTTCAATTTAGTCCAGCCACCGGCACAGATTTGGGGTATATCTGTGCGGCGTAGTCTCCGTTGCAGAGTCGCCAGACTCAACCGGCAAAGCGAGGATCGTCTGTCTGCGTAGAGGGGGTATCACGCATCGATCTCTATAGTGCCCTCCTCGGGCCTCAGTGGTCTACTGCTTCCGTATCTGGCCTCAGCGCCACCCGCTATCCGTGCTCTGCAGCTGACACTTAGGTCCTGGACTCACTGGCCATTTCAATCTCCTGCGCCATATCGAGAGTCGTCCGTCATTCAGCCACTGGTGGAGGAACGGTAGTCTACCCCTCCATTGTAAGCTACTAACGGCTGGCCCTTCATGAGCCCAGAAACGGAGCACGAAAGCGTAGGCCATTCGCGTTGCATGACGTTTACGCGGACAGAGAGTCCGAGGGTTGGGGTTTCCCCGCCGCCTTATAGGCGCGGGCTTGGTGGCGGCCTGCGGGCTGCTCCTTTCACAGCTACCACCTCCGTCGAGCCACATGTCGACCTTCGCTGCCGCCAAGCCCACTGATGGATTTCATGTCGCCTGGCTCAGAGCCTCTCTCCGCCAGATTCCTGACTTACCCGTCCTCTGTCCTCTGTCCTCTGTCCTCTTTCGCGTCGTACGGACGCCTCATGCTCCGCACTGACATCTCCTGGCCCGAGTTGAGGGACTAGATACCTCTCACAACCAACACACCCGCAGTTTTAATAGTTTTCTTGCGTCAATACACCTTGGCAGAGCGCTGCAAGAATCCTCGCCGCCTCTGCATAGGAGGCAAGGCCGCCGCCCCGCCAACCACGCTGATAGCATCCGCGTCAAGTCCCGTCAGGAAGACGCCAGAAAGGGCGACGTCGAAGGCCAAGCCAGATAGAGACCACAATCGTCTGCTGTACTGCGCGAAGACATCTGGGTACGCGAGAATCGCCATCACGCCAGCGCAGCGATGTTCATGCGAGAAGCCAAGGTATAATTAGCAGTCAAGGACGTACGTTTTCCTCCTTCCTGCGAGTTTTTAAGCATCAGCTTTATCTTGTCGTGCAGGAGCAACAGTCCGCAGAGCGCGTGGCCGGGTAGCGAGAACTGAAGCAACTACGCTACGATCATGCATACATCGTCCGCTAGAGAGCGTTGCCTACACTACTACGATGCAAAAACAAAGCCTACACTTGTGAAAGCGTCGTAAATTGAGACGACTGATGAACGGAGCCTGGTGCAGAGAAGCAGGCCGCGGTAACACGAGAAGGGACGGGTTCTGGAGTTGGGTATGGACGGCGCTTGAGGAACTTAACACCGAAGGCAGAGCCAAGAGATGGGAACTGCGGTACCAGTAACTTTCAGTAACGAGAGCTTAGAAGGTGCGCATAACTGTCAGATGCGTACATGTCGTGTCGTTGACGTTGATCAGAGAGGTAGTTCATGAATTCACGCATAACGAGAAGTGTCAGTGGACGACTCCAATTTACTTGCATGAGCATGCTGCTTTGCGCCCGCTTTGCAACGCGCAAGCTGCCCCCTCGAACACTCTGCCAGCCGTCAAAACGAGCGGCTCAGTGCACGACCGCACGAACTCGTCCGGAGCGCTCACCGCGCTATATAAGTCAATATTTCGCTTCCGACATGTCTCAGCGTATGTCAGTAAATGCCGCACCCCGGTGTTACCGAACTCCTCATCAACACTTTCAGGTCGCAGTTCCGCCACTTCCTACACCAGTTCACTGGCGCGGTCTTCGGCCATGTAAACTCGAAGCAGGACCTATTCGCCTACGGTCGTTTCGATATCAATGCACGGATGCGGCTGTATCCCGTCGCTACGTAGAGCGCGGCGTCATCTGTGGCCGGACAAAGCAGTCTCATACTCTGACAAAGCCTTAATCGTCATCGAAACCCTCGCGTCGAGTGTATATGTCTTCGTCTCGGGCGAGGGGCGACTACGGAAGAGACATGGCCGTGCGGAACGTAGACAGCCGCTACAGATCCAGAGCACCCAGACGATGGCTGGAGAACACTCACAATGCACGAAAGGTTCTTGTTCTTTACTCCGTTTAGGACGACCGCCCCACACTTGCTGGATTACCTTGCATGTCTTTGGCGCAGCCAGAGTCTCATCTCCGGCGCCTATGGGCCGCTGAGCAGTCGCCCGGGTGGTAAGTTGCACACTGTTGGATTCGCAACGATGAGACTCATGTTTCACTAGAACTTCACGGTAAGCCATGCTCCACTCCGCAGCGGAAACCACCTGAGCGCCGTTGCCGACCATCTCTTCCTCCGCGGACGCCGGTGGCATCTTTGTTCGCCCACCCTGCCCGACTTCTGGCTCACACCGCAGACATGCCTGGACGTCGTAGCTGCCCTATTCCCCACTCCCAATTGGCACAGTCGCCACTGTGAGCCTGCCTGATCGTTGTTCGCCAGGGGAGCTCCGGATGAGCCTTTCGGCGTCCTCGATCGAGACCTTAGTGTCCTCCTGCGGATTCGTGGGGGCAAGTCTCCCGCTCCTGTCTCAGCTACGCGGCTTCCGGACACAAGGGACCCGTTCGCCCCTCGTTTCCACGGACAGCAATGCTTCTGCCTGCCACCTAGGGATCACATTTTCATTAGGAAGAGTCTTTCGGGTATCTTTCGTTTGTCTTGTTCACGCAGGTGTCCTATGTCCTGCCAGCTCTGCGCTGTCATCGACTCTGTCTTGTCTCCTACTGTCAACATCCGCATCAGGGGGCCCAGAGCTGTCTCTACGTCCGTTTATACCGTGAGTAGCCACAAATCGAGCTGAATTCTCAGGCTGACACCCATTTCAGGCTCTTAGGCGTCTGGGTGTCCGGGGGTTAGGGTTCCTAAGCGCGCAACCTCTGCGGAGCCCGGGCGCGTCTGCAGGTTGCTCATCCACCCATCGTCGTCGACCCGTACATATGTCGAACACCACGCACGCGCGGAAGCGCTGTGTCGAGGGAGACCCGCGAAAAAGCTAGGCCTGGTCTGGTTTGGGAGAGGGCATTGAAGGGGCTTGCGAGCAGGGGAGTTCTATAGGGCTGGCGCGGCGACATTTGAGGAGCTTGAGGCGGAGAGCGGAGGTTAGGCCTAGGGTCGGAAACGCGGATATAAATAATTCTAAAAAGAAGGGTTCATCAGGTGCGCGCATTACTCACGCGCATTACTCAAGCGCATCCGCGCTCTGTAATTGATACGGTTTAGAGGCAAATTTCCCAAACACATGCACGGCAGAAGCTTAACGATCCCAGTCTGCTTCGATGACTAGTTTGCTATGCGATCGCTTTGTGGCAATCAAGCTGCCTCTGTCAAAGCGAACGTCCCGACGTGCGACTTCATGGACGAGATGGCCGCGCTCAACTCGCTCCTCGAACCCCTCCTGACGCGTCCCATCAGATACCAACAAAAGCTGCACCCCAACGATGCGTCTCCTCAGCCTCGTCGAGTCTTTCATCAGCATCAGCAAGTTCAAAACACTCGCTTCTCTGTGCCAGACCACCGCGTTGCCCAACGTGATCGTCGAGCGTTTCGAGTCAAAGTGCTTCCACGCAGATGCACCGACAAGACTGAGTGTCTTAAGCGCTCTTGAGGCTCCTCTTTCCCCGGCTGCCACCACCGTCGATTCACTTATCGCCGCCGCCGCCAATCCTGATAACGACTCGATGCTTTCGAGCCCCCAACTCCCTCCAGCGCCGCCGGCCAGTCTCACTCGAACGCCTTGCACTCTGCCCTCCCACGTTGTGCGGACTCCTCTGACATTTTCACCCCAAAACGGATGGCTAGATAGCCTGGAAGACCACTGCACTTGCAGCCATCGCAATCGTACAACATCGGGCGCTAATTAGCAGGCTGGTCGAAACAGTACACGGTGCTCCGCCATGGGGTTGAACCAGGCCTGATTCTAGAGGTATCGAGGCGGTAGACGAGCGACACGGGCTATAGAGTTGGGCACGGGCGACGTCTGAAGATTGTGAGGCGGAGGACAGTGTGGGAGGACAAGAGGAGTGGACTAGGTGCGCGTATTACTCAGCTACATGCACTCTCTGATCCTGATATTATCTGGAGACAGAGCTGATATACGCATGCATGGTGAAAGTTTCACGAATTCAGTCTGCCTGGACAGCCATGCCGCTTTGCGGAGGCGACCATTTCGCGACAAGCAAGCTGCCACTGCCGTGTGTAGTAGCATGACCCAAGACTCTACGTTCGGCAGAGTCGGACGTCTCGATATACAGTTACACGGATCTGTTTATCGAGCTCAACACGCTCCTCGGACTCCTTATCTCGCTTCCGACACGTCCCGGCAGATCCCGATAAAGCTACATCTCTGACGATGCGCGTCCTCGGCCCTCGTTGAGCCCTTCATCATCAGTGTCATCGTATCTAAGCCCCCGCCATTTCATGTACCGGGTCAGCGAGCTGCCCAACGTGATCGTCAGACGTGTCGAATCAAAGTACCGATACGCTTGCTTTTACATTTGCGCTTCCGTGCATGGGCATCGACATGATTTCATTTCCTCGGCACTTCGGGTACCGCGCCATCTGCAGCGAAGCCACCTGGTCCGGCCCCTGGAACCACCTCATTGTCGGTCTATCTCTCTTACACGCGATGAACGTGTCGTCGGAGGCTTGGTCGAGAGGTAACTACATAAACATGGCGATACAGAATCTCCTCCTCTGCGGGCGCCAACGGGACCCTTGCTTGTTCGTTTCGTCTCTGGCTGCCTATCGCAGACAGATCCTGGGGCCTCAGCAACTCTTTTTTTCTTGCATTTGCAAAAATCGGAGTTCTAAGCTGGCGCAGTCGCCGCTACGAATTCGTATCATCATTGTTCGTAGAGGACGTCAACCTTACGGGATGAACAAAGGAAAGATACTCGTTTACCTCGAGGCCGTCTTGTCCTGGTCGTTGTTCGTGCTCGACGCTGTCGCCCGGCCAGAAGCTGATGCCTGAGACAATAGCACGCGTAGCCGGGGTATTGCTCGCATTAGGCCACCTGTCAGAACGTGAAGCAGAGTCCGTGCGAGAGGCTGTGGTTACTCACGTGAGCAGCCCATAAGCGCGGTAGTTGTGGCGTTTGCCGCTTGTCCTTTACAACCACTCCTGTATATTGACCTCTGTCTCTGCGGACCACAATACAGCTCGATACGCACAGGTGGTAGCCTCTTCTTTTCCAGACCTCTCTTTTTTGTGCGCTGCATCTCTGTCATCTCGCGTCACCACGCCGACTTCCCACACCACGCTCTGGCATATCACGCCCATCTGACTCAGACGCAAATGGCCGGCCGGCCTTGACGATCTCCACGTTCATGGCTTCTTTAACCATCATGCTCCAATAACGCTTTGTCATGCTCGTTGGAATATCGCAAGATGTCTAGCAGCCGCCGCGCACGAACGCGATATCCCGAGACGAGCGAGACCGTTATCCTACCATCCGCACTGAAAAATTCCGCCGTTCGTGTGATATCATGCACCTAGTACATTCTGAGTTCGTGGTGCAGGCCAGAGAGTATGCACATGCGTGATCGCAAACATCGGGCACACCCGTGCTTTTATCGCGCAACACTGCGAGCTTGACGACTGTCGAGAGCCAAGTAGGATTCGCGGAGCGCAAAATGCAGATCCAGTACGATTAGTTCCAAACACCTGTCCAGGCTGTCCTCGTGAATGCTGTCTACGTGGTTCAGGCTCGACTTCTGCATTTGTCGGAGAATCCGGAAGCTCTATACGGCAGCAATCCCGAATACCTTGCCAAGTCATCTATGCATTCACCTCGGCTCCGTAAAGGACGCGGAAACTGTGGGGACGGCAGAGACAGACCTACCAGATATTGCTAGGCGACCATTTTTCTATCCTTGCATGAGAATTGTTAGTTGTTGCTGACCATACATGCATTTTGCGCAATTGTGTACAAATCTCCTCTCTTGTGATCTATCCCATTTGTGCTTCGCATGAGAGCAGTAGTAAAGAATTTCACAGACTTCACGACAGAAGCTGATTCACTTGCGCTGAAAACGGGTATTGCTCTTCCCAGAGGCAACTTGTGCGTCCTATTTAGATAGAAAGCAATTTAGCCATCAGGTTCGAGCCTACGACCAAATCAAACACGCCGCACCTTGTTCCAAACAGCCTTGAAGCTTGGCTGAGCTTGGAGGTCGTCGATATACGTGCTAAAGCGAGCGAATTTCTCGCCGCGCAGGACCTCGAGAGTATTCCTGCCATCGCCGACGGGATAAACGCCCAAATCGTTCTCGAGCAGCGCGACCATAGTTGACAAGAGTGGCGCGACTGCTATGTCGGCGATGCCACACTTCTCGCCGGCAACAAATCCTGTGGCGGGGAGAAGCTTCTGAAGCGCGTCAAGAGCATCGAGGAGCTTGGTGACGGGCTCATTCATCCAGAAGTATGCTTTGAAGGCGTCGAAGACCTGTGCATCGAAGACGGCGATGAAAAGGCGGGCTCTCGCGCGGAGTACAGGATCCTGCGGCAGAAGGCCGGAGTCCGGGAAGACATCGGCAAGGAATTCAAGAATGACACGGGACTCCCTGAGCTTGGCGGACTCCGGGGAGGGCTGTTCCGGGCTGACCTTGGGGCCGCCATAGGTGAGAGCAGGAACCTGGACAATTATATATCAATCCATGAGCATAACAGGAGATTGATGAATGATAACTGACCTTGCCGACCGGGTTGACTTTGTTAACGAAAAACGCAGGCTTGTCTTTCAAGTCGACATAGTACAAGGTGTACTCTGCCTTTGCCTCTTCGAGAGCGATGTGTACAGTTTGGCAATAGAGAGAGATCTACATATGGCTGTGTGTCAGACGCTTTTTGAAGTAGGTGGACCAGTCTCTCCAGACAGACGTACAGCGTGAGTATAGAACGTGATTTGTTCGGCTTGAGCCATGTGGTGCTTTACTGTGTGTGGGCGGTGGCTGATGAGTGCAGGATCGTCGTGTTGCGAGCGTCATCGGCAAGCACTGTCTTTATAGAGCAGGATTCGTAGTTCGCGCAGCAGCGCATCAAGGCAAATCAACGTTGCTGGGACCATTGAATTGGTGAGTCAATGAGAAGACGCTTTTTGACATGAACAAGCCAATCACGCCATCCGGATTACCAGCACCTGCGCGATCGTCGGAATTTGTGCGTGGTATGAACACGTCCTCATTGTCGTTGTGCAGAGTTCGGCACATGCATCCCTACTGCGCCGACAGACAACCGTAGCTGAGAGTACCAGATTTGGTAATTTTGGCACTAGACACGTCGTCTTCGGGTGAGCAGCTTTGCTGATGAGGACGTCTGTTCTGACAAATACCGGAAGGCAGTGCGAGACCGGGCTTGAAATATCTCGAGAGGATAAAGTCGTATACAACGAGTTGCGCCGCCGCGTGGGCCAAATAGGTGCGGGGGTGCGGGCATCAGTTGATCCCATCATTGATAAACGCGCCCCGTGTGACACGCACTGGCACACCGCCACGCTGGCAACTCAACGCTGTCATCATTCGCCGCCAACCAGCTTGTAGAGGGAGACAAGCTTGACAACAAAATCCTCAGAGCTTCCTACATATACGAAGGGAATTAAAGGACTCTAAGTCGTCTGCTAAAGTAATCGCACGAGATGGCCGGCGTGCGCACAATATCCATGCGCGCGTGAAGAACTCAGTGCAGAGCGACGTGATTATAAAATCTTGTACCTTCTATAACGCGTCGAAGGAAGCACAGCTGCTCTCGCTGCGAGATAGTACCGATAATTGACTCGCGTTTCATTTTCGGAACTTTTGTAAGCTGAAAGACAGTACTTTAGGTCACGGCAACGCGAATCTGTCATGCACCTCCAGGTACACGCCCTGTCACCGCAAACATTGCCCAGATGGAAACTGAGCGCACTCGAGGTGTATAGCAACACTCGTGTTGAGTCGCCGGAGCTGCATTTCAGTAAGAGCTTCCGACATTCATGAGTCCAAATTCTCGTATAAGGCACCGCCGGCGAGCGTGTCCGCTATGTGGCGTTCCACTGGCAGCTTAGGCTCGCGGGTAGACAAGCTACGGCCGCAAGTGCGCAGCCGTACTGAGACGCGATCACAGTAGAGACCTCACAGACAGCCTTCGGCGGCCGTGCGTGCTGCGAGTCCCTTACCGCGTCGTACCTCAGTTTGGGGACCTCGGCGGGGAGCGGGCGCATATGTGGGTATCATTTATCAGGCGCAGCCTGCACTTTAAACGTGCTAGTCAAAATTTAGCGAGCCGACTTCGTGGAGAATTGGTAGTCCTCACAAACAATACAATCAGGGAGCAAATAGGTCGCGTGCGTTGCGTGCGTCGGCGTGAGAACACAAGGTTGTCCATGGTGACAATCCTGCTGCGGTGATTCGGCCCAGATCTGGGCTCGCATACAAAATTTCCAGCCTTCATATTTTCTCTAGCCAGCTTGTTTTGCAATGATGTTGCAAACAATTACATGCACAACCCATAGCGAACTCATGGCATCTCTGAGACAGATATAATCACATGAAACAGCCAGAAAGTTGAAATTAGTGAGTGCATAAATATTGAGTATACAACCACAGGTTTATCAATTTTTAAAGCGACACCGCATCATGGATCATGATGTAGTACGGCAGTCAAGTGGCGAAGACGAGCAAAAAGAAATGGGGGATCACAAACGCTCGCTTTGTGGCGCTCGGATACAACCGCATAATTCACGAATTCACGTGATTTACTATAAGCGTTTGACGTGACAAATTCTCAGCTGGCCGCTGCATTCTTGTACTCAAAACAACGAGGCAACGGAATTGAAAACTGAGGGACCCCTCACGACGCGAAAGCGGAGTACGGGTGGTAAAAGCCGAGTAATTTAAACTCCGAGATAAGATTAAGATAAGATAAACTCGCGTCGCGTCGTGCAAGCCGCCCCTATCCCAACCACTGCAGACCGCTACTCTCATCAACCTGCATCAGCATGTCGAACGCCGCCGCCGCGGCGAAGCCCGACGACCTCTCGGCGCACCCGAGCTAGAGTATCTCTCACCTGGCCAAATCCCAGTCTCATTCGTTTATTCTGCACCTTGCTCGTTCGCGCGCGTTGCATGGCCAGACTTCTTCCACCTCGCTTTGACGTCTCTTAACATGAAATGCGTGATTGGATAATTCCAGAAGCCGCCACGCTCGTTTTTCCAGCATTCATATCGCGCACAAATTGTTCGGTGATACTCTTCATGACGTTGCAAGATGCCTCGCCACCGTGCCATCAGGAGCGAGAGACACAATCGTTCCACCAACAACACCGACAATATCCAGGTCCGGTTCTGTCAGTATAGCAACGGAGCGAGTGATGTGGAAGACCAAGTCGAGGGAGACTTCAACTCTGCGCTGCACGACGCGAACGGTCACGCTTATCGTCATAACAAGGCAGCGGAGTTCACATGGGGCGTGGAGACGTACACGGACGCCAAAGATGTACAGATGTTCCTCTTGTCATGAGTATGTGAATCTGACCTCTATTACGTTGTGCAGTCAGAGCAGCTCGAGGTGCCAATTCGCGAGAGTGACACGGCTGCGCCGTCGTGGAGCACGCACGACACACTGGGGGACGAGCTACACTACGTCGATGCGACGGGACCCTGCATACGCGGGGGCTCCATCGAGAGAACAATCTGTAAAGAGATCGGGCCAGGCCTGGTTCGGGAATGTGATTCGAAGCGATCCGCGACGGGTCGCAGGGCTGGGAAGGGGCGGAACTTGAGGAACTTGGAGCATAGTGGAGAGATGGAAACGCGGGTACGAGTAATCCTGAAGGATAAATTATTGGCAGGTACGCGTGTTGTTGAGACGTATATGCGCTCCGATATTGATATTATCTAGAGGCGGCACTCATAAATACATGCATGGCGGAAGTCGAACGATTCCAGTCCGCCTCGATAACTGTTTGGCCATGCCGCTGCTCTGCGGCAATCAATCTGCCACTCTCCAGCACAGTAGTCGCGCATAAAGACTCCACGCTCCGTCGAAACGAAAATCTTAGCGTACGACCTCACGGACGAGCTTGCCGCGCTCAACACGCTCCTCGAACCCCTCATATCGCTCCCGATGCGTTTCAGCGGATATCAATTAAAGTCACAATTCCGACGATGCGCCTCCTCAGCGGCATCCGGTCTAAGCACCCGCCACCTCATGTACCAGACCACCGAATTGCCCAATGCGATCGTCGGGTATGTCGGATCGAAGCGCGACATACTTGCCTACGACTATGCTTCCGTGCAGACGCGTGGACATGATTGCGCTTCTGAGCACCGCGTCATCCGCCACGAAGCCAGCTGGTCCGGACCCTCGAACCACCTCATTGTCAAACTATTTCTCGCACGCGACGAATACATCTCCAGAGTTCTAGACGACTCCAAGCAGGATGCACTCACGCTCGCTGCAGACGACGCGGCGCACAAAGTGCCGGCGGAATACGACGGCGCGCATGTGCTCGCACAAAAGCGCAAGCCCCACTCGTTGAAGCTCCGGACAGTCGTCGATCTGTCTCTCCGGCGGGATCTGCGCGTTCTTGAAGTCTCGAATAGGAGTATGACCGCACAGGAGATGCCGCCGTCTGGGATGTTCGGACCATGGATTCAGGCGCGGGCGGTTCCTAGTGTTTGAATGGTCCGGGATGGCTACCTTACTCTCGTTCATTTGACCTAACAGCCGCTGGCCTGTCTCTCGTACACCGCGGGTCTTGTCGACCGTGTTGCAACATCGGAGCTTGGATCATATCGAGATGAACAGCAACGCGATGTTTGCTCCAAGGAACAAACGAGATGGTGGCGATGATCAAAGCAAGCCTACAGTCGTACGTCAACTTGCATACATGCTGCCGTTCTTGTACTGAGACCGCGACAGCTTCCGGAACGACGGACGGCTTCCATCATCGACGAAGCACGCATTTGACGTGACCAAGCCCTCGTCGTGATGACGCGCACGTTGGCTATGCACAATGACTGCCTGGTCTCAGGGCGAGTCGTAAGCTGCTGTATTTTGACGCAGTAACTGACGCGTTGCTAGGGCCTGACTACAGGGCTATGCTGAATGCCGCAGCAAAGACTACCTGAGCCCGGTCACCGATATTTTGAACCTCTTGCTCCGCGAACGCTGACGCACGCCGACCATATCCCCATCCGCGCCCTATCCGCAGTTCTCCGGTGCCCGGAATAGACCGGCCTGAATACCGCTGCGTCCTTGGCCTCCTGTGCCAAACTTTTGGCCCTCAGCCTCAGTGTGACCGTCACCGCAGGCTCTTGCCATTGTTGCCTGCGTGGAAACCGCGTATGAAGTTCCGGGATTCCACGGTCAGCATCTTGGCGTGCTCCTGCACGTTCGTTAACATAAGCCGTCGGTCGTTTACTTCGACCATGCAGCCCGCGGGCACAAGAGCATCCGCGTCGTCCTCGTATCCGCGTCAGCGCCCCTCTGGTCCCCAGGGGTCCATCGTGATGAGTTTCTCACCTTAGAAAGACAAGGGAAAGGCCCTCGGCATTTTCTGGATCATCTTTCGGCTCAGCGTATTGGCTGGGTCTATCGTTATCCTTGCCATCAACATTCGAAGCGGTGGGTTTGGCGCCGTCTCTGTGTCCGTTTACGTTCTGAGTCGCGCAGAATCGCTCCGTATTTCTCCATGCTGACGTCTCTCTCTCTCTAGGCTTTCTCCAATGTCTCCTTTGTCGGCGCCGCCTTGACCGTGTTTGGCGGCGCGATTGGTGCGTTTCGCTCGAAAGCGCCCACGCCAACGCTCTTGATCGGCTTGTGTGGTTTTTGTTTCTGATATCTACCCTCTCTTCGGATATTGGGGTATGCACGGCTTGCCCCGCTCCCAGGTCTGTACGTACCTTGTCCTTATTTTTGTACACGACTTACTTACGCTCTTACAGGTATTAACTATTCGCTTTTTCACCAGACAGATGCCAAAAATAAAATAGGAATCGAAATCGCACGTACAGCTTCCATGTGCCTGAGACGTTTCAGACGGTTGTCGTTACCTATGATGCAGTTCTACGGTAGGCCGTGCACAACGGAGACTTCAAGACGCTCAGCCCAACCCAACTAGACTGGCTTACTGTGCCGATTCTGAGTGGTATCGTCAAAGATGTTGAAGATTCGTGTAACGATGTTCATCGCCTTCCAAGTAAGCTGTCGTGTAGTGCTGCTGCATGCATAATATCATATTCTGTCATGCACTCAGCCGCTTACTATAGCGATATCATCAGTCCGTTGATTTTTCGATCATCAGAGAGGAAATATCGATGACTTGCTGGGTTCGCTAGCGCGCGTTAGCTCAGGCGTCTGCCTCAAATGTTCAGGTTCTACGACTTCCAAGCGCCATAGTGCATTCACACCATGGCCACGAGATCATTCTTGACCTGATAAAGTCTCTCCGGGGGACCTCGGAGCTGACTATCTGTCGAAAACAGTTTCATCGGTTTGGTATCGAGTTTGTGATGACCAGTGTTGCGTTCACAAGAGTCATCAACCTCGCCGCTCGGGCTGGAACCCCTGCCGGTGAGTCTCGTCTTCGCTCACGGGAGCTGTGCACAGCGATAATTACAACGTTAGATCTCATGCTCTTCGCGACGCACCTACATCGCGCGTGCTACGCTTGTGACGCGCCTGCAATCATCGAGCTCTACTCCAAAAATTTCTTGTGGGACTCAGTGACCGCGTGCGAATTGCGGGCGGTCGCATGGGCAGCCTACTACATCCCACCAACGTCCTCCGGACACAGATGGGAAAGCCCCGGAGATGCTGAAGTGCATGCCCGCTTCGGAGATGGACATCTCAGTTGGTGAGTCCTCTTCCGTTTGAGAGCGATGATGAGACTGAATGAATTCGAACAGGCGAGATGGGAGAGACAGGGACCATCGGGACCGAACTATCATGACCCGCTCCGGCAACTGCACTTTATCCACCGTTCACATAGGATCGTCACTAGATATCAAGACCGTAATCACTGACAACCGGAAATCAGATTGGTGAACACGCTGGTGCACCACAATAACGGATACCATGGGACTGATATAAGGGCCCGCCTCAACTGAGTCACATCCCTGGCAGGTGGTCGCTCGGAAACTGTGGACTTGAAAAAAAATTATGTCTACCTGCGCTACCCGTATGGCCGAACAAGGCCTTCGTCCTTGCTACCGCTCATCCAAGCGGGCAAGTGAACACATGTCGTAAGTTTCACTTGAAGTGACACATTTCATCCGGTGCTCCCTACTACCAGCAGCGGTGAATAGACCTATAAAAGCTGTGTTCCTGCTGTGGACTATACAGCGGAATATATAGGCTGCAGTTCATAAGTCTTGTACACCAGTCTACCTCTCCACTTGATCACCTTCTCACCGCAGGCAACATGGGACAATCAAACGACGGCCTGAACCAAGAACTCCGGGAATTGTACGGGCCCTCTTTTTCTGGTAGATCCTCATTCTGCAGCTCACCACTTTCACATGGATTCAGTTTCACAGACAACTATGTGGCATATTCGGTAATGTGTATGCAGCAGGTTTCCGAGCTCCAAAATAAGCAGGCTTACCAATACTATTTCGAGGCCTCGTGACTTATGAGTTTATTATAACGCTAGACCAAGAAATCGAGGTGGTATGGAGGAAGAGATTCACAGCCACTTCACTACTCTTGCTGAGCGTTCGGTGGCTGATGCTGCTGAGCTCAATTTTGTTTGTTATACCTGTGGGACTAGCTGGGTGTAAGTCTTTATGCTGCCTGAGAATGGATATATCTCACGATACCATCCTCTAGATGTACATCCTGTCCCCTCGCAGAATCCTCCCTAACAAGCTCCCGCATCCGTCACAAGCTGCAAGCCACTCTACGTGTCGAGTACACTGGTGTACTTCGCAACCACTGCCCTTATTTCACGTGTGTTTACCTGTATTTATGTTATTCGAAAACAACTGATCTTGGATTATTCGTAGTGATCCCAGCTCTGCGTGTATACGCGCTCTGGCAAGGGTCAAGGCTGAAGTATGTTTATCCTGCCATTATACTCACACTCGGGGCAATCCCGATTGGAACAAATATCGTGCGCTGTACCCTCATAAATCGAGCAGCAGTCAGTGCTAATTCCCGTTTAGTTTGGCTGGGCACATAACACGATTGCATATGAGAGCCTTACGCCGCTCGTTAACTCCAGCGCCTGCGTGTACGTCCCCAATGTCGCACCGAAACTGAAAAAAGAGTGCGTAGCCAATTAATGACCAGTGGCACTGCTCCCGGACCGATGTATACTAACTACTTCGCTTAGGAGTAGGTCTGCCACGCTCGAGCTGGCACTTACATTCTGACATACGTGCATGCAGTGCTCTTCCTCACGAGATGCAGCGTGATTGCCGCCGACGCCATCGTCCTCGCGCTGACGTGGGTCAAGTCGTTCCAGCAGTCCCGATGGATGCGGCAACCTAAGCTTGAGTCCCCCATATTGGCTGTGTTACTTCGAGACGGTACGGATACCACGTTCCTTCTCTTGCACACAATGCGACTCATGCTATGCTGGTCTAGGCACACTGTATTTCGGGTAAGCTTGAATGAGTCTTGAAATCGGATTTAGTATCACCCAATGCGCAATCCCCTTAGTGCTCTTCTTGCCGTCAATGTGCTGCAGCTTCTAGACTACTCAAGTGGCGTCTATGTAGTAAGTAGTCGACTGCACGTAGATTCTGAGCGCTCCAATTTTGTACCTACAGGATACCATCGTAGAAATCTTTCTCCGGTCAATGGTAACCACCCCACGTATTTCGGGAATACTTACTGATTGGTAGCATTATCTATAACAGCCCCCTTTGCTTTTGCAGCGCTTCATGCTTAATCTTCGCCAGCTTGGTACCGCTGATGAAAGCGGTTCGGACACGCGACATTCTCCCCACTCCTCCATAAGCTTCCAAATGTCCTCCAACTTTATGGGGAACATTGGAGAGCCTCTGGACCACTGCCAATCAGAGCAAGTGCAAGATGACGGCGATGATGGCCACTCGGATGCAGCAGATAAGCCAGAGGATCAGCTCGAAGAAGGTGTCATCCGAGAGAAACGACTGTCTTCCACGGGCCGGCATGAACTGGTTGTCGCTTTGATATTGCAAATCGCCGAGTGCGCAAATGAGCAAGATGATATCAGCTTGTCTGCTTCCTCAAGTGAAGCGACATGTTGAGAGGTATCCGGATATCTGAGGACCGACGGTTAGGTGTGTATTCATTTTTGCTACGCCACAGAACGGCTCATTGAGAGCCTTTTACGCAGGTCAAGCGATCGCTACCACGGATAACGAAGGCGGTCATTATTTTTCTTTGCTATATTCTACAGCTTTCGCCTATATTCACTCGTCCATTCTGCTCTCACAGCTACTATCTAATTCCCTTCGGGAATTACATATGTTATTTGGCATCAGGCATAATACACTGGCGTCTTATCGTACCGCTCTACGTTAGTACGGTGGTGTAACCCGGACCAACGCTCTGATGTCCAACGGACGAAACTCTTGCGGCCTAAACTCGAGCCCGTGGCGAGCATTGCTGCTCGTAGAGCCGCGGGGGAATAATTTGGTTCAGATGAAGAGAGAGATAGTGTCTGCGCAGCGCCATGATGAACGCATTGGCGTTGAACGTTTTACAGCGTTGAAAATAAGAGTTGAGGAAGGTTTGACTCGGAAGGCACGAGGCGCCGGCCACCACCAGGTCTCTGAAGGCATTACGACCTAGTGCATGATTCCCTAGAGACCTTGAAGCTTGAAGGTGCATCAAGTGCCGAGAGGTCGAGGAGGAGCAAACACAGGGTGGTAAGCACGGTTTTTTTCTTGAAGAAACCCGGCCAAAATTGGGAAAACAAGAACCAATTGTTCCCCGGTTGTACATTGGGGTAAATTAGTGCGCAAATTGGTGCAAAACCGGCCAAAAGAGGCTGAAACGCGACAAAACTAGCGGAAAAGGAAGGTTTGTCTCCAAATTTTCTTGAATGAAAACCGGTTAAACACAGGTTCTTGTTCGCCCAGCTTTTGGCTAGTTATGCAAGCAAAAAAACTGCACCTATCACCTAGTGAAAGAGACGGCGGCGAGGTCCTAGGTCGTTAGCGCCCAAACAGGACGCGATTTTTGTGGCGCTTACAGGTTGCTCCTTTCGCACTGGACACTGGCCAATTCAACTTTCTGCGTCTTATCAAGGTTCGTCCGTCATCCGGCCGCTGCTATAAGAGAAGTTGTTTGCTCCTTTCATAATGTAAGAGGCCCGTTCACGAGCCGAGCTATGGTGCAGGTCGTCCCGCGTTGCACGATATTCGTGCAGGCTGAGAGTCCGAGGTTAGGGTTTCCATGCCTATAAGCGCGGGCTTGGTAGCGCTTGTGGGCTGCTCCTTTCGTAGCCACCACCACCGTTGAGGACCTCCGCCAGGCCCATCGGTGATTCTATGTCACCCGGCTCAGAGCCTCTCTCTCTAAGTTCCGGAATCTCTCATGCGCTTTCCCCTCCTCTTCGCGTCGTACGAACGGACGCCTCATGCTCCGCTCTGACCTCTTAGCCCGAAACGAAGGACTATATAACTTTGACAGCCGTCACACCCATAGGTACAACAATTTTCTTGCGTCAATGCCGCTTAGCGATGCTCAACAAAGCGCTACAAGGCTCCTTGCTGCCGCTATATAGGGCCACGGCGTGAAGAGCAGGCAAAGCTGCGTCCCACCGACCACACTGGCGGCGTCCACAACAAGCTCTGTCAGAGGGACACCAGGTCAGAGTGGAGAGACGGGAACTACGGCACGAGTAGCTTTCGAAAGGATGGGTCTAGAAGGTGTGCGTACCCTTCAGACGCGTATATGCTTCATAATTGACATTGACTAGAGATGTGGTGCGTGAAAGCGCGCGTGGCGAGAATCGGACGACTCCAGTCTGCTCGCATGAGTATGATGCTTTGCGACTGCTCTGCAATGTGCAAGCTGCTCCCTTAAAGACTTTTGTCCGTTGAAATGAACGCGTCAGCCACACGGATCCGTCTGTCGCGCTTATTGCGCTACCCAAGCTCAACATCTCGCCCCCCCCCCACGTGTCTCGGCGGATGTCAGTGAAGGCTGTTCCCCCGACGCCGCACCCCAGCATTGCCGAATTCCCTCATCAGCATCATCGTTTCAGTTCCCGTCACCTCCTGCGCCAGTTCACTGAGGCGCCCGACGCGGTCTTCAGCCATGTCGACCCGAACAAGGATCTATTCGTTCACGACAGGGCGCTCCCATATCAATGTATTCCCTCGCCACTTCCAACGCGGCGCCATCTGCGGCAAGACGAAGCTGTGTCAGGCTCTGGGGCGACCTCGTTGTTACTCGATTCCTCGCGTGCAATGTACGCGTCTTCGAAGCCTTGGGGCGACTACGGAAGATGGCGATATGGCCGCGCAGAACGTTGACAGCCACTACAAGATCAGAACCCACAGATGATAGCTCTGGAACACTGGCGAAGCACGAACAATGCCCGTTCTTTGCTTCGTGCAGGATGGCTATCCCACACTCGCTGGATCATCTTCCATGTCCTTGGCGCAACCTCGTCACCGGCGCTTACAGACTATGCTGAACGGCTGTTTGGATCTGAAGGTAAGTTGCACGCCGTTGGGATTTGTGACAATGAGAATAACTTTTACCAGAACCTTTATGGGAAGTTATGTCCCACGGTACGGCCAATCTGAGTGCTATTGCCGACTACCTCTCTCGGCGGACGCTAGCGGCACCTTTGTTCCCTCGCCCTGCTGAATCTCCAACTGCGCGCCGCAGACAGGCTTAGACGTTGTAGCAAGCTCTTCACTACCCGCACCGATGCTCGCGTCCCGAGTCCAGTCTCAGTCAGCCCAGTCATCATGGCAGGCTTGCATGACCGTTACCCGAGGGGTTCGACCTTCTCGGTTGAGAACTCAATGGTCTCCTGCAGTTTCGTGACAAGCTGGTGTGCTGTTTGTCTCAGCCATGCAGCTCGCCGATGCGGGGCGCGCGCTCATTTCTCACCCTCGCGGGTTACGTGCTTCATTTCACGGCAGCGCCTCTCTAGTCCACACAGGGATCAAGTATCTATCATGACAAGCTATCTCCACGCATTTCACGAAGAAAAGACACTCGACGTGCCCTAGTCTTGCCAACTACGCTTTGTTCAAGAGGCAGTTTGAGGTGGTCTACAAGCGGGTTCTAGGGTTGGGTGCGGGCGACGACTGAGGAGTTCGAAGTGGAGGATCGTGTGGGGACAAGAGAAGTGGAGCTGGTGCGCGTATCACTCAGATACATGTACGCTTCGATACTGATATCATTCAGAGGCAGAACCTGTAAACGCATGCACGACGGACGCTCTACGAATTCGATCTGCCTGGACAACCATGTTGCGTTGCGGAAACGATCATTTCGCAACGAACAGGCTGCCACCGCCACGTGTAGTAGCATGACGCAGGCCTCTACGTTCTACCGAGGCGGATGCCTCGATGCACACACGACTGCATGGACCTGTTTATCAAGCTCAACACGCCCCCCGAACTTTTTATCTCGCTTCCGACACGTCTCAGCAGATGCCAATCAAGCCCTATCTCCGACGACTGGGTTCCGTCGAGTCCTTCATCAGCGCCATCAAGTCCAAGCGCCCGTTACCTCGTGTGCCAGACTACCGAGCTGCCCAGCGCGATCGTCGGGCGTGTCAAGTCAAGGCGGAACGTGCTTGTCTACGATTACGCCTCTGTGCAGGCGCGCTGTCATCGTTACATTTCTTCGGCACCTCGAGTACCGCATCATCCGCCACGAAGCCAGCTAGCCCGGGGCCTGCAATCGCCTCGTTGCCAATCGATCTTTTGCGCATACAACAAACGCGTCTTCCGAGTCTTAGTTGAGCAACCGCTGAGATATGGTGATGCAGCATCCCGACGCCCGCCGCAGATCTAAGGTCTAAAGTCTGCAGACTACGGGCCGGGGGTGCTCGTGAAGCAGGAATGGTATCTGATGTTTGCTCTGTTTAGAATGGCCACCGTACGCTCGCCGAATCACAAGCGGTGTCTTTGGCCCAACCGAAGCTCATCGTTGGCACCCATCGAGCATGCTAAATAACTGTCCGAGCCTGGAGGTTAGTCACGTACTGCAGAGATTGCGACAATGACTAACGTTTTACTGTGACTCTACAGGCAGGTAGCTATGTTGTATGCTGTAGCGAGGACTATCTGAGGATTCTGAGTCCGTTGTCGACCATCTCTTCCTCTGCGGCCGCCAATAAGACCCTTGCTCGGTTGCTTAGTCAAATTCCTGGCTGGCTGTCGCGGACAAGCCCTGGGGCCGCAGCAACTCTTCTCTCTGCCTATGCTGGCGGGCATTCCCTAAACTTGTATTTTTCGATTAGCGCAATTCGTGGAAATGCAGTATTACCAGAAACTGGAAGCTGGCCGCGAGCTGTCACGAGAAACGCGAAATACCATTGAGATTTTTATTATTATTATTGGTACATTGCAGGGGTTTGATATGCAGGCTGAGGCCTGAGAAGTCCGGCAAGACGGCGGCAATGCGACGCGGGCGCGAAAGCGCGCATAATGACGCACGTGATCAGACCTATAAGCGCGGACTTTGTGGCGTTTGCTGCGTGCTTTCCAGCCACGACCTCTTGCATATCGACCCTCGCCGTTGTTGAACACGACGATGATTCTACACAGGGTGCAGCCGCTTCTTCACTGGTGCTCTGCGCCCGCGCTGTCTCTCATCGCCCCGCCGACTTCCCATGTCCTGCCCGGGCGTACGCCCATTCGCCGACGCAAATGGCCCGCCGCACTTGATCTTGAGGACAATATAACTCTTATGCTGTAATGACGCTCTGCGACACCCGCCAAGGCCTTGCAAGGCGCCTAGCGGTTGCGGCCGCCTCTAGAGCCAAGCACTTCAGCGTCCATCCGACGCAAACGGCCGGTCAGCCTTGACGACAGCCGCACTTACAAACGACTTAGCCCTTATACTCAAACGACACCTTATTGTTCTCGCCAATGCCTTGTGAGTGCGCGTGCTCACAGGCATCAAGATGTCCGCGCTCTTGCCACGCAACATCGCTCGCCGACGGACGAAAAAGCATACTTCTGCGATTCGAAGCGGCACTTTGCGTGTAGCAGAATCACATCTCACCATCAGCGAAGACGGTAGACAAATGGAATGGGCATGGTATGACACGGAGAAGCTGCCCAAGGCGGCATAGAGGAGTTCTCTGGATGACCGTAGGCGGCGTTAAAGGGACTGGGGGCTGAGGCCTAAGGGTTGAGCGGAGAGGCTGAGACGCAAGCTTGAGTATCCTTGAGGATGAAAGTTGAACAAAGAGGGCTGAGACGAATATGGCAGGAGGGCTCAAAGCCGAGGTATCGAGCACAGAGACAATTGTCTCAGTTGCAAAATTGTGAGGCTCTAGGTTAAGGCACAACTGTGCCGAGCCGCTCTTGCGTATCGTCCTCCAGATGATTTCCTTGCTTCTCGATGTCGATAGCAAATACCTCTCGGCCTAGAACGACAACATAAGACCCGCCACCTAACTGGCCTGCTGAGAACAGGAGCGGTGTGATGCGTACGAGGAATATGTCGTCGATTTGATCCCTGGCGCATACACTGATGCAGGAGATACAGAGGATAGGCTTATAAACAGCTGGGCGCCGACGCTTGAAAGTTGAGACGTTACCAACAGATAGCGACGAGCGCGCATGCACTAAAATTTGACAGAAAACAGGAATGACTGCAATGCTCCTAGGTGTTCTATAGTGAGAGAATGAGCTGATGTCTCATGCGCGTATGTTCATTCTACTAACTTCGCGATTTCTAATTGTTTACTTGGGTCGAACGTCACTAGGTGGTATCGCATACAGGAGATATTGCATCAAGGATGACGAATTGCGAGCAGAGGGTTGTACACTGCGTTGAAAGATGTCAGCATCACCTCCAAATGTCGGAACGACAGAGAGAGAGATATTACAGTACCGTGATCAAACATTGGGCGAGATGGCCAGGCATGCGTGCCCCGACCGAATACAGGTTTAAAGTTTCAATTTCAATACTCAATATCCATAGCTTGTTCGTACATTGCGCGTCAAATGATCCTTTGCTTTTTCAACCTCATATGCTTTCGCTCGCCCGCGGAAATGTCGGCATCGCCACAGGGCGGAGTGTACGACGGAGGTCGACCAGATACGGTTTTTTCCCGTGATGTTGGCATCCTTGCAGAGGCTATGCGCCGCGCGCGCGAAAGGATGGGCGGTAAAAACCCAGAGAATCAGGGATAATCCGAGGGGAGCGTGCACAACCTTTGTGGCGTTTGCCGCTTGTTCCTTTCCAACCACGACCTTCGTGACTTCCGCTCTTGCATGTTGATCTCCGCCACTACGATAGCTCTGTGCCACGTCAAACTCGTGGCTCCTGTAGTTATTGTGCTCCAACGACGCTCTATGATGCCCGCCGGCGCCTTGCAAGGCACCTAGTGCCGCGCCGCAGGAACGCAACATTTAGGACGGGCAAGACCATTGCCTTGTAATAACCACCGAAATTATCCACGTCTTACTCTACCAATAGAGAGCGCATTAGGCGACGCCGAGGGCCAGGTAGGAAGACGCCGTCAACTTTGCGCTACGCGACGCTCAAGCGTTCGAGTGCTCAGTAATCGTCCGGTAGTGGTGCCGGCGCTGGACGCATTGAAGGAAAACATGGGAGGCGAAGACATTTGTAGCCCTCGTTTTTGTGATATTATACACCCCACTTATTCTGATTTCGCGGTGCAGGCCCAAGAGTCAGCAGAGCGCATGTGCGTGCTCGCAAACATCGGACACGCCAAGGCCCTTGCTGCTCTACACTACTCGCTGGTGGTACAAACACCACGAGTCTGCGATACGGGACGACGCTCGGCATGAGTGAGCGCCCGGGCCACACCTTGTTGTTAGCGACGGCAGCCGACGGATGATTGTCATGGCAGGACGCAGAAGGCAGCGTCGAGGGGTTCCCTGAGTAATCACAGGCGACGTCATAGGAGCTAAAGGAAAACGGCTGAGCAGAGAGACAGAGACGTGGATGTGAATATTCCCGAGGACGAGGGCTCGGCAGGTGCGCTACTTCTTACGCTAGACATTCATGCTCCGTTGCTGACCCCACGCAGAGGCTGGGCCCACAAATAAATACACACGAAGCCTCAAAGAATACCTTCCTAACATATGAATGAGCCACCTGCCACTGCTCCGCAACGGGCGAGTTGCCAGCTGCGGCGGGCGGGGCCGTCGCTCGACGCTCGATGTGAACGTCTACTCGTATGGCCTCATGGGCCCAAACATGGAGCTCAACGCTCTGCTCAGACTCCTCACCCCATTTCCACCACACCTTGCAGATACCCGTACAAGCCGACTCACGACGAGTATGTGCCTTTGCCGCGCCCGCTTAGCGTCGCCGGGTTCTTTGTCAACGTCGCCAAGTCGCAGCGCTCGTCCAGACATCAGCCCACCGAGCTACTCGATCGGATCTTTGGACATGTCGACCCGAATCAGGATCTACTCATCCTTGCACAGGAACATGCATGAGGTCATCTTCCTCCAGCGCTATGAGCACCGCACCATCTGCAGCAAGGTCAACTCGCCGAAGGCCTGAACCCACCACATTATTGACCAACCCCAACTTCACTCAGGCGAAGCGTACATGTCCTCGTAGCCCCAAGCGAGGCAAATTTCTACCGTTTGGGATCTTGGCAGCCGACACGGACCTGTAGTCTTTAGACGATAGACGAGGAATACTAGCGAAGTACGAACAGGTCTATGTCTTCGCTCTGTTTGGCACTCCAGCTGAATCACCGGCGTGCGTGCCGACCCCATCAGACAACTGCCAGAACTTGAAGGCAAATTGCATATTGCCGAAATTCACGAGGATGACCGCCACTCACTAAAGCTCGGCTATAGGTCATACCCGACGCAGCGATGGAGACCACCTAAGCCCCATCACCGACTATCTCTTTTTCTGCCGATACTGGTGACACCTCCACTCGCTTACTCTTCCAATTCTCTGGTACTCGCCGCAGAGAGACCCGGATGCCCCAGAGATCTACTTCTTCGCCCACATTATCCCGCACATCCTGATTCCAGACCTTTCATTTACCGCCACCACGACAAGCCCGGACCGCCCGGTCGTTGCCCGAGCTCCGTAAAACATTCTGGGCCTCGCTCTGCCGATATGCCAGTGATCTTCTGCAGGTCCAGCTCATCTCGACCGCGTAGCTCCCAAGTGCAAGGTATCTGCTTGTTCTTCAGTTTCCGACCTCAGTTTTGCGATAGTGCTCTTATTATCTGCACAAGGGCTATTACGATCAGGTATTCGCTCGAGAAAGATAGGGACAGCGTGTCGGGGGTGTCTGTAGGCTGCCTTCCCCCTCGATTTCGCTCTTGAATGATCCATTCACGCTCGCATATGTCTAGGGCTCTACAAGGCTGCACAAAGGGTAGGGTCAGTGCGCTTGTTCGGAGCGAGTGTTGTACCAGTGCTACGGCTGAGTGGACATCGATCAGAGATTTATTCAGTGAGATGCGCCGACGTATTATTGACAGCAATAGATAATTGATTTCACTCTTGGCGGAATACAGAGAGAGAGAGAGAGAGAGAGAGAGAGAGAGAGAGAGAGAGAGAGAGAGGTTAAAGCAGCTGGTACATGTGCAAACCATGGCGCGATAAATAAAGAAACGTCTGTCCTCTTCGACGCTGGCATCGGGCAGCCCAATAATCGGTACTAGCTATCGACTGTCGCATAGTCATTGCTTGGCAGAGTGTCAGACTCTGTTTGAATGAGCATAAGTCAAGCTACCGCGGCGAAGCAAAGAGCTGAGATACTTGCCTAATGGGTGGACGTAGAAGGTCCAGCCACTATTCCGTGCGAGTAAGCAATTTGCCCTATGATGTTCTCGTCACTTGCACGCTCTGCGGATTGTAACGTTAGAGCGGTATTGGCTCCGTTGACTGGTCCCGACATGCAAACGACGGACCTGACAGGTGTACGGAAACCTCTTCAGATTCGTTCCGTGGCTCTTCTTCTGCACGGCTGTTGTTGTTATCACTGCCTTCAACTTGCTCTGATTGGCTGTGGTCCAGAGGCGCGCCAATATTCCCGAGGAAGTCTGAAGACACCCGGAAGCTGAGGTGAGATAAGTGATGTGTATCCGAACTGCTGTCATTGGCGGTGTGATTGGGCTGACGGAGATTGAGGATGAAGCGTTGTATCAGTAATGGGGGCTATAAGTAAGAATACTTGGTCAGTGGACACCTCCGTCGTCCTAACCCCGGGCCATGGGGTATTTACCACAAATCTGATGAAAGGGTTCGAATAGTTGCCCTGTAGTAGACGAAGAATCAGAGCTATACGAGAGATCAGTGTGTTCCGGCACTAACCAGCTCGGCAAAACTGCTACGAGTGTATGTGAGAAGATCCCAAATATTCATAGCTAGAAGAACACTGAGCATTTATATGTTAGGCAGAGTAACTGGAAAGGTTGGAAATTTCTAGTAGCTTACAGAAAATAAAGGGTACCTAGAAGAGTGTTGTGTGGGTTAGTACCTCGTGTTGCATATAAAACAGAAAGATATACTTGCCGTCCCGGAGCAGCACAGCCGAAATAGAGAATCCGAGCTCAAGACGGCGCATGTCCTTGAATTGCTTGAATGATTTGATCCACGTCAGCACGAGGACGATGATATCGACGGCGATCGAGCTGCATCTTGTGAGATAGAGCACTACACAGTGCGTGTACAAGGTGACTAAAAGTAAAAATTTGAGCAAGGCTAACTCACGCCTAAGAAACGAAGTCAGCATGAAATCGAGGAGGGTAACAAGCTTGTACATACTCAGTGATCAGCTTCGGCGAGATGTCGGTGACATCGAAGCATCCAATGAGCTGCGGAGTGTTTATGTATACGACTGCTACATGCACCAATTGGAACTAAATTCAAATCAGTATAGATGACTGCATAAATTGTTAAATAATAACACACAATATTCGTTCCAATCGGGGCTACTCCGAGCATGAGTATAACGGCAAGAAAGACATATTTTGTCTGTGATCCTTGCCAGAGGGCATACATACGCAGGGCAGAGAACACTGCACAGAAGACCAGTCTAATTCCCTGTGATTCAGCAGTAAGTATTCTTGTACTCACATGAGATCTGAACTGTGCCCGTCAAGTACACAAGTATGCCCACTATGTTTCCTGGTCCGCACCTTGTGGCGCATGTGGCGACCTGTGAGGGAAAGTTCTACTGTGACAGAACAGAGCGTACACCTGTGGAGCAGTGCTGTGAGATCATCCTGTCCTTCAGCATCAGTGAACTCACACCATGCTTGCGCCGAGGGTATGGCCCCCAGAATCGGGCCGAGAAGCATGATCCACCGAGTGGTGATCAATAGCACCGAGGTCAGCGAACACTTCCGTCTCCATCCCACCGCAATTTCTTGATTGAATGTTATAAGGTATTCGTAGACTACAAGGCCTGCGAAACATTTTGTCAGCCTGGTGCCACTGAGGGTTTAGGATGTCCCAGTATACATAGCACTGAGTTTGCTATATAATTTGTTGTCAGGCTAAAAGCATACGATTTGCGTCAGTGTCATTATATGCGCACTCTAGGGAGAGTGAGCTCGTACGCTTCTCTAAGCTCCTGCTGTAAACCTTCGCTTGACTGAGCCATTTTGTCTGTAGTGTGCTGAGAACGTCCGAGTCCACTGATGGGTTGGTCGGTGCAAGGTTAGTCGGTACAGATCCAACGGCACCCTCACTTACATGTTATTTATATCGCATCCTCTGGGATCAGTCCGCAGCAAGAACGCCGCGCACCAGCTATCATTGAACGGCTGCTATTCGTCGTGCGACATGCTCTGAGTCGAAGCCTGCGTTTAGTCGATACAAACGCCTCCCCGTATGGCTACACGAGCCTGCCCGCCACTGTCAACATGCTTCAGGCGCTGCCCTTCCTCGGCATTATCAAACCCTCATCGGTGTCGCCGGGACCCAGTGTGCATTCGTACATCACGGTCAGCCTATCGGGCCACTCCATGGACCATGCCATCGTCACGCACATCAGCTCGAGGGGGAAGTTGAGTCTCACCGGCCTATTGTTCCGCCCCATGTGAACTCGAAGGCAAGCAGACAAAGCTCTTCTGATGCAGGGCGAGACATTCGGGGTACAAATGTCAATCAACGCCTGTGATGGATGCAAGTCGCATCGTGGTACCCTGATTATCATTCAGCGACGTCCGGTGGAGTACACGTACGGTGGAGCAAATCCAGGCTTCCTGGCGATGGAATCCGTGCTTCTTAGACTCCTGGCCTTCCTAATGATGAGATGGACAGATGCGTGGGGAGGTGCCACAGTTCTATGGCTCTAAGCGAGGCAGCGTTGCCGGACGCCGACTCGGAACGGCCCCTTCGTGCGATATCCTTCAAGTTATGCAAGCTATCCCCATTAAGTTTTAACGCTCCCGGAAACTTCGTCGCGGATATAGTCGATGGCCTCGTATCGCTGCAGTGCTATCCATCTGCCGCGAGTGATAGATCGCGACGGTGGGTCATTCGTCCCTGTCGCTCGCTGGCACCATCTTCTGTTGGCCGTCGCATCCGCCTATTGTCTGGGGATTCGGACAAGGCATGCATCGTAGTTTCATTTTATGTGTTTCCAGGCTATGCGAGCAGCCGCGAAATGTACAGGGTTCTTTGAGAGAAACAGGTGCAGCTTAATGGAGCATACATACTCACAGGCTTGATCCCACGGGGAACATCATCATATCTTAACGTGATGTGTGGCTGCGGTTTGCAGCACCCTGGTTCCAACGCCTTCGTAGGCATCCATGGCTGGACGCATTCTTGCCCCACCTCCAAACAGAATATCTCGCTCAGCTGCTGTTTTCAGTCACCAGATCCCTAGCCATGGGCTCTCTGGATTCGACAGCTCACAATTCCTTCAGCTCGACATCTACAACGCCGCCATATCCTCAAAGCACGAATCGAGAAAGGCATGACGCGGAAGGCACGAGGTGTCGTACGTTGCTAGATCTCCGCAACTATTGCGACCCAGTGCACAATCCCCCACGAAGGTTAATCGCTGACAGGGTCGTTAACGCCCGCGTGGGGCGCGACCTTTGTGGCGCTTCAAGTTGCAGGCTGCTTTTCGCAGCCACCACCTCCGTCGGCTATCACAGAGCCGTTATATCGAGTTTAATGGAATTTACACAAGTCGAATAAGCGACGTACACTCAAGGACTCGAAGTGTCCATCGACGACACATGCCGTGTTCATCTTAGCGGACGAACACAGCCTGTTCAGGGGTTGTCGGCAGCGGGCCTGACCGCAGACAATGCAGCCGCGAGGGATAGGAGACCTCTCTTCGTCCCGTCTGACCTCTGTCTGCGCTAGGTTTGTGATAGCATCATCGTTTTGGCCTTCTCTCTCCCTGCTTGACCTCTGTCTGCGCTAGGCATTGAGCCTGAGTTGCGCCGGCGGCCGTTTTGCGGTGTCTCCACGAGATCCTGTCGCTCCCATCACTCGAAGTCCCGGCTCATCGTAGGAGCTGCTTCCAGACTCGCACCCTTGCCCGCCTCCGAAGTGCGCGAAATCTAATCTAAGCGCCTATGCGGGGTTTGAAACTGCCGACAACAAGTGACCTCTGCCACCGCCGAGCTTGTCGATGATTCCATGTTGCCCGGCTCAGGGTCTCCCAATCTTACTGTCATGCTTTGCTCTCTGCGCTTGCGCGTCGTATAAGGCGTCTCATGCTCTGCCCTGATGTCTCCGCACCCCCGCCTCTCCATAGGATCGCGACATTGGGAGCAGTTGAAGCCGCCACCCCACCGGACCACACTGACAGTATCCACGTCAAGACCCATCAGGAGGACACTGGAATAAGCGGCGTCGAAGGCTAAGCAAGATAACGACCTCAGCCTCAACTATACGGTGTATGGTGTGGAGCTACCTGGGCATGCGACGCTCGGCATCATGACAGAGCAGCGGCGTCGATATGGAGAGTGAAGACAAACTCAGGTGTCGAACGTGCGTGCTTTTCCTCTTTCTGTAAACTATTGATCCTTATTTCTATCTCGTCGCGCGACGGAATAGCTCGCAGAGCGCATGGTCGAGTTCGTGAGGGACTCCCGAAAGGAATAATCCAGCAGGTGCGCGTATTACTCAGATGCGTACATGCTGCATTATTGACACTAACCAGAGATAAAGTTCATGGATACACACGCGACGAATACCAACGAATACAGTCCGCCCGGATGGATTGCTTTGCAACAAGCAAGCTGCCCACCCGAAGATTTTGCGGTCTGTTGAAACGAACGTTCCAGTGTACGACCGCACAAACCCATCTCATCGCGCCCACCGCGCTCCCCACACCTAGCATCTCTCTCCCGACGCGTCTCAGCGGATACTGGCGAAGGTCAAATCATCGATGGTGTAATTCCTCAGCGTCGTCAGCGTCGCCAGGTCGCAGTGCCCGCCACTCCATACGCCAGCTCACTGAGCCGCTCGACGTGGTCATCGGCCGTGTCAATTCGAAGCGGGACTCAGTAGTCGCCTACGATCGTGCTTCCGTGTCAGCGCATGGAAAGACTATATTTCCTTCGCCATCTCGAGCTCGGCGTCACCGGCGGCAAGACAAGCTGTCTCAGGCTCTGAGATAGCTCCGTCCTTAACTGATCTCTCACGTGCGACGTACGCGTCTTCGAAGTCTCGGGCGAGGGGTGACTGCGGAGGAGACACGGCGGTGCGGGACCTTGACAACTGCCACCAACCTAGAGTTAGTAAACGATGGTGGGAATACTCGTGGAGCACGAACAGTCCTTGGTCTTTGCTCTGTTCAGGATGGCCGCCTCGCGCTCGCTGGATCACTCTCCATGTCTTTGGCGCAATAGGACCTTCATTTCGGCGCCTATCGACTGTTGGAAGTGAGTTACATACTGCTGAGATTCACGACGATGGGACTGATGTTCAATCAAACCTTGGCAGGAAACCATGTTCCGCGCTGCGGTCGAAGACTATGTGAGCGCCGTCGCCGACCATGTCTCCCTCACATCCTTCGCTCTGCCCAGCTTTTGGTGCGCACTGTGAACAGTTCCTGGCGTCACAGGGAACATTGCGGCTTTCCTCTCCGCTCACGCCGTCCTGCACGTTCCGAGCCTAAATCGCTCACTCAAAGCCTCAGTCGTTGCAAGTCCGTACCATCGCTGCTCTCAAAGCTCCTGATGAAGCCCTCGGCTTTTTCGGCCGACATCTCAACGTTCTTCTATGGACGCCAATTACAAGTCTGCACCTCAGCTGTGCATTATATATGTATATAGTACAGAACACCGGCTAGTCATTCATTCTTGGCGTCATCTTCGTTTTAATGGTAACGACTGTCTGGCACCCATCATAATGGGCTATTCGTTCAAATTCGCGGCGGTGCACTGTCTCTGCACTACGAACAACGTAAGTCTCACTGAGCCGCGCCGGGATGTTGCGCGCTGACGTCGCCATATAGCCTTGTTCGTCATTTTTGTCTGTGCGGCCCCCGCGTTCCTCGTCTCGTCCCTGGCAACGGCGCTAATAGTGCTCTTTCACCTGCGAACGCAGGTATGCTCATCGGCAGCGCGACTCTGTTCGCTCAACACGTCGCTCGATTGCGCAAGCGTAGTAATGAGCTCGTTCATGGTCGAATACTTTGCTCTCAACGACGGGTGGACGCGGTTCCGTCAGCGCGGTTATCTTGGCCTCGCGTTGAGGCGAGCGGCCGTCCCTCCCCTAGCAGCTAACCCTCAGTCAAAAGTACATCATCGACATCGACATCAAACACTTCGACTATCATGGTAGCGACTACAGAATTATGGGCGCGTTGGTATTTGGTGAGACTTCTCTTTGCTGGACCTCCATGGGGCGAACGCTGATTGCCCGTTGTTGCAGACTGCCGTGACGCGGCCCACCAGGTGCTGACATACTCAGCAGTGCCCAGATCCTCGAACGACACGCTCATCCTCGCGAATTCTGCCAGGCCGTGTGGAGCGCAGGCGTGACAAACTCGTTCTGCGTGAACGCGGCGCGGGTGCCGCCGCCGAACGAATATCTCGCGGGGCGGACGATGATACTCTTTTCGTTTGTATCTGTCTCAACCATCCTGCTCAAGGCGAGATACGAGTATGAAGAGGTCGCTAGATGGACGACGACAGGAAGGGCTTCCCCAAGGAGCACAGTACGGCTGGCGAGAATGCGAGAATGTCAGAGACTGCGCGGCTCCGCAGCTCGCCGTCACTGCCGTGCCCGCCCTGTCACGTCTTACATGCTCCCGCCATGTTTTATATCCTTGTATGCACCGACTTTTGTGCTTGCCGTAGTCGATTGACGAATGTTTCATCGCGAGAGTATCATACATAGCCATCTACAGCATATCTAATAGATCCTGGATTTGGATTACACCTTTGACATTTCGCTCTTTTGCTCTTCAGGCAGCGTCTCGAGGCTGGCGCGACGCTTCCGGAATGCTGTATCGCCGGGTCACTTGAGCACACCGGTTGTGGAGGGACCGATTCAGACAGGAAGGAAACGAAGGCGTCCTATGGCTTGCGACCGACGAGAGGAGAGAATGTACAGTGTCATGTGCTTTGCTCTGTCTCGTTGCAGAGCGTTCAAGTACTAGAATGTTACGAGAGCTCTGGAGACGATACACGAGTGCGGTGTCAAAGGTCTGGCCGTTCGCCGTAATGCAATTGAAACTCGTAGGCACAGGTTTTGCAGCGTCTGCAGGTTGCTCCTCTCTCGTCGACCTCCGCCGCTGCTAAGCCCATCCATCTCTCGATAAGGCTCCGCTCGTACGCTTTGCGCTCTGCTCTCTCACGTCGTGCGGGCTTCTCATACAGCTCATGGCTAGCTAGGCGCGGGGTTTGTGGCGTTTGTCGCTTGTTCATTCCCGACCGCGACCTCCGTCTGCTTCCACTCCTGCATCTCAGCCCCCATCGCTGCTCAGAAAAACGATGGCTCGACGTCACATGGATTGTAATCGCTTCTTCGCTGGGCCTCGTTCTGGTCTGCGCACTGCGCCTTTGCCTTCTCGCGTCACCACGCCGGCGGAGCTCTCACACTCCGCTTTGACATACTACGCCCTTCCGACTGGGACGCAAATGGTCGGCTGGCATTGAGGATTAACGACCGCCGCGTTTTTGGTTCCTATAGCTCTTGCGCTCCAACGACGCTTGGCCAATAGATGATGTGAACGTGGCAGTACGCGGAAAGTGGCGGCGAGAGGTTCTGTGAGCAATCATAGGCGATGTTGTGGGAGCTTAAGGCACTGCAGAGGGCTGAGCAAAGAGATGGAGATGTGGGCGTGAATATACCCGAGGATGAGAGTTCGATAGGTGCGCTACACCTTAGGAATTTGTGCTCCGCTGCCAGCCCCGCGTAGAGACTGGCCCACGGATACATACGTGAAAATTCAAAGAACATAATTTCCCTCGTCCCCTCCCATTATGTCTCAGCGGATACCCGTAAAAGCTGGCTCTCGATCAGTACGTGCTCCCGCTACACTCGTCCAACATCCTCAGACCACTCGTTAGCGTCACCAAGTGGCGGTGTTCGTTCAAGCACCTGTCCACCGAGGTTCTCGATGTGATTGTTGGGTCTGTTTACCGGAACCAAGACATGCTTGCCTTCGCGCTGTCGCAGGAGCATGCACGGGACCACTCTCCTCCAGCGCCTCGAGTGCCGTATTATCTTTAACAAGGTCGACTCGCCCATAGTATGAAACTACCTCGTCGTGAATCGATACTACACGCGAGACGCACGCGCTCTCGAAGTCTTGGATAACAGACAAGGTGCGGAAGAGACATTTCCGTACGGAATCATGACAGCTGACAGGGACCGACTGCACAGAGACGGCCGGCTGGGAGTACTGGCGGAGCACGGGCGGTTGCCAGCCATCAAATTGTTTGGCATAACTTCTTAACGTTCATTGAACTACCAGCTACGCCTTTAATGCGACCCAAGTTTCTCCGCCGGCGCGCATGTCGACGATGGTTCACAACGTTGCAAACTTGGAAGTAAGTCGCATATTTCTGGGATTTACGATGATGATCAATAACTTGCCAAGGGTAGATTGCGGCTTACGCCCAACACTGCGGCAAGGACTTTCGATACCTCATTGTCGACTTCGTCTTCCTCCGCGGATATTGCCAACATCATCGCTCGCTTACCTTTCCATATTCTCAGTGCTCAACCCAGAGAGACCCGGACGCCCTGGCTATTTATCTCTCCGCCCACATTTAATCCACCCGTTGCGTGTCTAGACCTTTCACTTACCGCCACCACGATAGACCCGAACCACCCGGTCATTGCCCCGTGGATAAGCTCCGGAGGAGATCCTTGATCTTACTCCGCCAACATCTTGGTGCTCTTCTGCAGAGCTATGAAAACAAGCCGCATGTTGCTAATCTCTGCCGTGTAACTTCCAGGTGCAAGGCACCTGCTGGCTTCCTCAGCTTCACGGGTGACGTCCTCGATGTCGCGATAACGCTTGTACGATCTGCACAGGGGCCATTACGATTGGTTATCCGCTCGGGAAGAATGAGGGCCAGACATTGGGGGCATTAATGGCTGTCTTCCGGCTCGACATTTTCACCGGGTCTGTCTTCGTTCTCATTACTACCTACATTCAAAGTGATAGACTTTTTGCTGTCTGCGCAGTGATTTACATCGTGAGTAGCTTGTAGCTGCACTCGTGTTCTCTCATACGGACACCGTCCTCCAGGCTCTTCCGATCATCGCGTCTGCCAGTGTAATTTTGGCGTTCTTAATTCCATCTCCAGGTCTCATCGTCCGCGATGATGGCGCAATCGTCACGTTTGCCGACGAAGCCAAGTCTACGAGGATGTCGTCGGCTTGGTTTATCTACTGAAGGGCTGACGCATGTCCCGCTTGCCGCCCATGCTCGAGCGCGAATGTGGTAAGCACCTCAACCTGCGCGCTCAACGCCTCTCTCGAGGGATGCGCGCACGATTGTTGGCGCTCTCATGGTCGGCTTCCCTGTTTCGACAACAAGTGAACGCTGTGCCGACGGCGCCGCGGCCACTGCCTTGGCCCCACAGTTGTCGCCACCCGGGCGCCATCGTGCGATTATCGTCCCACCGTGTAAGACCACTTTCAAATCACAATCACATCGAAGACTACCGCGGCAGAAGTCTCAGCCATGACGACTACAGCTGCGGAACAAGGGCGCACCTTTCCCTTCGGTGCGATTCTCTCTGCCGTACATCCAGGGAGCGAACGCTGATATGATGCTTATGAAAAATACTTTGGCAGCTGTTAGACGCTCCTGCGCCAGATCGTGCCCTTACTCTTGAGCGACCCGCTCCTGCTCGCTTGTTTCTAGGGGATTTACAAGACTTCGCAGAGGGCAGAGGCCCGGTGGTATTGTTCAGGATGGGCTTGGTATTGGCGCTGCTGAGCAAACGTCGATCAGATATCCAGAGAGCGAGACGTGCGGTCGTTTTTTGTTTGCAGCAATAGATAATCGATAGAATTTCCGGAGGAACGCGGACAGCGGAAACAAGAATAAAGTAGCTGGTACATATAGAAAGATGGGACACGATAAATAATAATTGACTGTTCTCTGCGACGCTGGCGTCGAGCAATTCAACAATCAGCAATCGTCTTGTGTGCATTCATGGCACGGCTGTACGCCAAAATCTATCTGAATGAGCGTACATCAAGCCGCTGTAGCAAAGCGTGGGGATAAAGCGAGGTACTTGCCTAATGGGCAGATGTAGAAGGACCGGCCACCATCTCGTGCAAATATGTAGACGACCTGATGATGCCCTCATTACTTGCATGTCCTGTGGGTTGCGAGGCTAGAGCGTCACCAAGTTCGATTGAGTCATCACGGCATGCAGACGATGGACGTGGCTGGTGTGCGAAATCCTCCTCGAGTTCTTCCCGTGACTCTTCCACTGCACAGCTGTCGTTGTCGTTATCATGGCCTTCAACTCGCTCGGATTGGCCGTGGTCCAGAGGCTCGCCGATATTTCCAAGGAAATCTGAAGGCATCCTGAAGCTGATGGAGAAGCGGGAAGAGTGCTGTACATCCGAATTGGTTTGATTGGCGGCGTGGTTGAGTTGACGAAGGTTGAGCATGAATCGCTGCACAAGTAATGGAGGCTGTAAATAGCATTGCTTAATCAATAGACATCTTTGCCACCCAACTCATAATATATTTACCATAAACCATGTGAAGAGGGATGGGTAGGTGCCCTATAGACAGAGAATCAGAGCTATCCAGGATATAAGTACGATCCGGTACTAATCACCACAGCAAAATTATTTGCAGAGTACGTGAGAAGCTCCAAAGTGTTCAGAGCTAGAAGGACACTGAGATTATATATATTAGGCAAGCTATTTGAATGATTGACAATGTCTAGCTTACAGGAAATAAAGGGCACCTAGAAGAGTGTTGTGTGGGTTACTTTCATGGCATATGCAACACAGAGTAATATACTTGCCGTCCCGGAGCAGCACAGCTGAGATAGACAATTTGAGCTTAAGACGGCGCATTTCCTTGAAGTGCTCAAACGACTTGATCCATGTCAGCACAAGAACAATGATGTCAGCAGCAATCAAGCTGCATCTTGTGAACCAGAGCACTGCACAGCACATGTACATGATGATGACTGTGAGTGCAAATTTGAGCAAGGCTGACTCACTCCTAAGAAATGAAGTCAGCATGGAATCAAGCACTGCACCAAGTCCATACATACTCTGTGCTCAACTTCGAAGGTATGTTGATAACACTGGTGCATGCAGTGAGCTGCGAAGTGTTCTGGAATAAGAATACAGTACGTGTCCATTGGAACTAAATCAAAATCAGTATAAAAGACTTCATAACTTGTGGTATAATAGCACACAATATTTGTTCCAATTGGAACCAGTCCGAGCATGAGTACAACGGCAAGAACTTGAAATACATATTTCATCCGTGATCCACGCCAGAGTGCATACACACGCAGGGCAGAGAATACTACACAAGATACCAGTTCAATTTCTTGTAATTTTACAGTAAGTATGCTTGTAGTACTCACATGAGACCTGGGCTGTGCCCGCAAAGTACACAAGATCACCCAGGATATAGTCTGGTATGCACCTTGTGATGCCGATGCGGCAGGTTGTGAGATAAAGATCTCCTACAATAGAACAAAGTGTACACCTGTGGAGCAATATGGTAAGGCATTCTATCTTTGAGTGTTGGTGGACTCACACCATGTTTGTGCCGAGGGTGTAGTGTTCAGAATTGGGCCGAGAACCATGATCCACCGAGTGGTAATCAACAGCACCGAGGCCAGCGAGAACTTCCGTCTCCATATCACAGCAACCTCTTGGTTGAATGTTATGATATATTCGTAGACTACAAGGCCTGGAAGGATTTGAGTCAGCTCTATGGCTACTGGGGTCTTTAGGATGTCATGGCATACACAGCACCGAGGTTTCCACGTAGTTTCCTGTCAGCCTAGCAGTGGCATATGATTTGTGTCAGTGTCATAATATGCGTACTCCAGAGAGAGGACTCATACACGTCTTGAATCTCCTGCTGCAAACTCTCATTTGACTGCGCCATTTTGCGTTAGCGTTCTGAGAAGGTCCCCTGTTGGACAGTTACAGCCAAACGGTACACTCACTTACATGCCATATATACCGCCGCCTCTAGGATCAGTCCGCAACAAGGACGCCACACACCAGCTGTCATTTGACAGTTGCTGTTCGTTGTGATTGCAGGCCCAGGCACCACTGCAGCAGGTACAAGTCGGCATCTCTGGCGCATCTCTGTGCAATTTGATAGCTGCTGTGATTAAGCACAGCTTTCAAATTACAGAGTTCTGATTATTCAACCTGAAAGTGGGGATATAAGCCATCCTTCTTCTGGATACGACATTGAAAGATCATTTATTAGCAGTAAGGCTCAGCAAGACGGCGACGATAACCCACAATACCACGGAGAATCTGACCACGGTATGCGGAACGCGCACAGCAGTGAAGTAAGTCAGTTGAGGATTCGGTCATCCGTTTTGCTAGATTCTGCCAACGGTCAGCTTGGATTCGTTGAGCAATTGTGCGGACATATGGAAAGATGACACAGACAATTTCAAGACGATCTGGTCTCAGTCATCTCTGAGTCACCAGCCTACTGCCATGATATCCAGCCTCAACATCGATCAGATGCAGGCTCCGAGTCGCCGCTTGCCGCCCCAGGCGGCTTGTCTCCGGATTATACATGCAACTGATACCATGTCTCGACCTCTGACATTCCCTGATGATTACATTCTGGCCGATGCAGTGTACGACATGCGACGGCGTCCGATGCAGCTGTTGCGGTCGGCGGTGCGGCTGCGACTCACCCGGACCTGGTCGTGTAGTACCGGTAGTCAGGGACACGCTGTCACATCTCACGAGCATCACGGGGCAGTGGCGCGCAGTAAAATTCTTTTGCGCGACGCAAGTGTGATACGTACTGGGCGAGCTAAGGCTAAAACGTACGTGGAAGCGTGCCTAGGGCGGGCGCTGCCCCGACGTGCCTTGTGGCGTTTGCGCCTTTCCCAGCGACCACTTCCGCCGTCTCGAATGTCCATCTATGCCCATCATAATCTCTTCCTGCCTGTGTCTCTGTCGTCCTTGTATGCCGCGTCTCTGCTCTCGCGCGTCTCATGAATTTCTTGCCTCTCGATCTGTCATTTCCCAGCCTATAATGAACGACTAGCTACTCCTTGTCACCGCCGTATTTGACGGCCCATGCCGTAAGGTGCGGAAGGGACTCTTTCAAACGCTAGAAAGTACATCGCCACCTTTATCCACAATCACAACATTCATCGGGGTGAGCCAAGGCTATTCCATTATTCATACCAGCAGCCTCATGGTTTCGCGCTGTACAGCACGAAGGCGTTCGGATACACAGTCGAATGGGTTGCCATCATCTCGGAAAAAGCGGGGTGTATATGCATCGTCGACGTGCGCCCATCCTAACCTCAACATGAGAGTTCGTGATGCTCAAGTCCATTCTGTTGTAGGCCCAGAGACTTGCGGAGCTCCTGCGCGAGCTTGCGTGGATCAAAATGCTTACGCACTCGCCCCGCACAGGCCATCTCCCGAAGAACTGTGAATACGTTAAGAAGGCGTATCGCGATCGTACGGAGGCAGAGGCAGCCCATGTTGCCATCAGCGAAGACAATGGGCGGAGAGAAGTGACTGAAAGCAGGTACGAGTGAAACGGGCTCTTGAGCTGTATGCGGGTATCGCTCGAAGTTGTTGGGGCAGAGAGTGGAGAGTGGAGGGGTGGAACTGTGGGCATAAGCAAAGCGTCGAGGGGTCAAGGTGCGTGTACTGCACATTCATATATCTGCCCCATTATCGACATCGTCCAGAAGCGAAGTGACCAGCTCCGGCCTGCCTGAATTCGCAAGTTGCCGTGTGACTACCCCGCGATTAGCAAGCTATCTACTGTCGAAAGAGCGAGCTCCAGTCCCCGCGCTCTGTCAATACGAATGTCCTAGCGAGCGGCCGCATGGACCCGTTCACGGCGCTCGAATCACCCTCCCAAACTCTCCACGCATTCTCGACGCGTCTCAGCAAGTGCCCGTACAAGCATACCATAGGAAATAATCGCTCGTGCTACCTCGTCAAAGCCTCAGAAGGCCCTTCATGATATGCTTTTACGCGCCAGCGCACTAAGTTGCTCGACGCGATTATCAGACGTATCGGCTCAAGCCAGGCTTACTCACGCTCGCCGGGACGACGGCGCGCACAAAGTACTGGTGGAATACGACGGCGCGCATGCGCCCACACGATTGCGCGAGCTCCGGACAGTCGTCTTTCTGTCCCTCTGGCGAGACCTACGCATTCTTGAAGTCCCAAATGGAAGTATGACCGCACACGAGGCGTCGTCGTCTGCAATCTTCACCGTGGACACCGCCTAATCGAGAGTTATGGACGATAAGTTCGAACACGAGCAGTTTTTGACCTTTGCGCGATCCAGCACGACTGCCTTACTATCCCTACCTGGTCTCACAGCCGCTAGCCTGTCTCTCGCACACCACTAGTCTGGCAGGCTTTTTTGAATTGCCGGATCCTGAGCTTAAGCTACATCAAGTTGAACGGTAACGTGATGTTCGCATCAAGGAACGAACAGGATGGTGGCAGTGAGTGAAGAAGGCTCACTGTTGTACGTCAACCCGTATCTATGATACCATCCTTGCACTGAACGCACAACAGCTTCCGTAACTAAAGATATCTTCATCGTCGACGAAGCCCGCGTTTGGCGCAACCGAGATCTCGACATGGAAATGCGCACGATAACGATGGATAACCGCTCTTTGAACTCAGGTGAGTTGCGAGCCGCCGGGTTTCGTATCAGTAACTAACGGCATTGCCAGGGCCTGACCGCAGTGTAAGCTGAACGCTGCATCGAAGACTATCTGAGCCCAGTCGCCGACAACTTGAACCTCCTGCTCTGCGAGCGTCGACCCACGCCGACCATATCCCCACCCGCGCCCCATCCGCAGTTCTCCGGTGTCCAGCACAGGCCGGACTGGACATTGTTGCGGCCTCCGTCGCCTACACTATACTGCAGACCCCTCAGCCGCAGCGCGATCGTCACCGCAGGCTCGCACTATTGTTGCTTGCGTGGAAGCCACAGATGAATGGGCTTCCACGACCAACATCTTGGCGTTTTCCTGTGCATCTGTGAAAACGAGCCGTTGGTTCTTTACCTCGACCGTGCGGCCTCTGGGCGCAAGGTGCTCGCTGGCTGTTTTTTGTCTGCGCCGTCCTCGGATTCTCATCAGAGGTCCTCTGTTCCTCCCGGGAACCTGTCATGCTGAAGTATCCCTGCGAGAAGGACGAGAGCAAATGACGGTGGTAAAGACCTTCGGGGTTCCCGAGGCCATCCTCTAGCTCAGCACGCGCGCTTCCGTTATGTCTATCGTTGCCCTTGCCATCGATGTTCGAAGCGGCAGATTCGGCGCCGTCTTCACGTCCACTTGCATTGTGAGTGGCGCAAGACTGCGCCGTATCATGCCATACTGGCGTTGCCCTCAGGCTTTCTCTACTGTCGTCGCCTCGGCGTTTCTAGTTCTGTCTCTGCATCTCCTTGCTGCTCAACTACAACGGCACTAAGTGGAAGGGCGAGAGCACATCGTTCTCTTCGCTGCGGTCCCCTCTGCTGTATCTCCAGGGCGTGAACGCTGACATGGTGCCTATGCAGACTACTTATACAACGAGATGTATCGTCGTGTCGTTTACGGAATAACTAAACCGTATCATTCCTGACGGGATGCAGACAAAGAGAGCAAGATTGAAATAGTTGGTACATGTGCAAGCCGTGGCGCGATAAATAATAAATGTACGCCACCGTTCTGTGCGAGTGAGTAGACGATCCGGTGGTGTCCCCGTCACTGGACGGCTGTTGTAACTCACGAGGGGCGCGATGCGAGGATTTCAGTGACCATTGGCGCGATGCAAGAGTGGAACCCAGGCCCAAAATTGGTGCAGTGAGAAAATGGCGGGAAAACAGCGCGGAAGCGCGGGGCATCTGAGCGCTAGCACGGGCTTTGTGGCGCCCACAGGTTGCTCCATACGTCGACCCACATGTCGACCTCTGCCACCGCCAAACCCGACGGCGGCTCAACGCCGACCAGGTCGCAACCGCTTCCTCGCTGGATCCCGGTTTCACTTGTACGCTTTGTCCTCCCCTCGCGCGCGTCGTACGGACATCTCACCTCTCGTTCTGACATTCTCCAACCCGAACTGCATGGCTAGCTAGCCTTGACCACCGCGGCACTTGTAGTCCCTGTCGTGCTTCTGCGCCGGCATCGGACGACGATGCTCAACAAGGCGCTTCGAGACGCCCCGCCGCCTCCGCGGAGGACTGCAACATCTGGAGCAGGCAGAGCCATCATCCCGCCTACCACACCGGCAGTATCTACGTCTACCTCTGTCAGTAAGACTTCTGAACATGCGATGGCGACAGCAAGGCCAGAGGACGACTTCAACTTCGCGCTGTACGGCGCAAAAGCGTTCGGGTACGCGACAGCCATCGTCACGGCGGGCGCAGCGGTGTCGGTGTGGGGAGTGAAGACGTTTATGGGTGTCAAAGATGTGCGTGTCACCATATCACACAAGATTATTGTATGTTTTGACAAAGACTATTTCTTCAGACCCAAGAATTCGCAGAACGCATGCGCACGCTCGTGCGCACCAAGATGCCTGTGCTGTCCTCGCGTATACACCGCCCACTAGCGGAGGAAGACCACACGGCGACGATATGGAACGATCCGGTATGCGTGGATGTGCCGTATACCGTCGTCAACGAAGCGAGTGAACAGACAGAATGGGCATGGCCTGATGCGGAGAAGCGGCTTGAAGTGGCATACGAGCGAGATGGGTTCTCGGGATGGGCGCAGGCGGTACTGGAAGAGCTAGAGGCAGAGGGTAGAGCAGAGAGGCGGAAACGCGGGCATGAGTAGGCTATCGGCCGCCGAGAGACAAGCGTCAAGCAGGCGCGCATACTACTCGAACACATACATGCTTCATAATAGAACATCGTCCAGAAGCAAAGCCCATAAATACGTGCATAATAAGAAGGTTAACGACTCCATCCTGCTTGGATGAGCAGATTATTCTGTGCCTGCTCCGCGACAGGCAGCTGCCTGCTGCCACCGTCTCCGCTCGTGTAAAAGCTACGAATGAGGTTTTCGACCTCTTCGGCAGACATCTTGATGTACTTCTGAGGATCTGTGAACATAAGCCGTCAGCTTATGCACTTGCTCTGCGACGCAATGCACGTACTTTTGCTGAACTCCTTTCCTTGCCTCTGAGTGAACCGCTGCAGCGATGGCACGACGAGCTTGACGGCCTCCTCCTTGATCGTCTCCCTGCTCTCACGGTCGTCCTGCAGCACGCGCGCGAGCCGGTGCCGCTCCGCGACCTCCTCGAGCGTGTCAAAGAAGCGCGTGAACTTCTCCTTCGTCGCGCTCTTGCTCCGGTCCTTGTCCTCGAGCAGCGTCTGCATCAGCGGCGAGAAGTTGGAGTCGAAGTAGGCCGCTTTGGCGGTGCGGAACGTCGACTGCAGCACGTCTTGCGTCGGCTTCGACAGCAACGATGATACGTCCGAGTGTGGCTGGATGAGGAGCTTGGTCCTGATGTAAGAGACGTTGTTCAGCAAGAAGATGGAGCCGAATGCTGGCCGCTTGTTCGTCCGCGATAGTGTTGTGATGCTGCCAAGGACAGTATTCACCACATCGACTAGTGACAATAGCTCATGGATGTGCGAACGAGGTGGAGGATGATGAGATACGTACATGTATAGTGCTCAAGCACAGTCCGTCCGTCGACCTCAGCCGTCTTTGGCGCCTTGCCCACTTGCACGCCTTCGCCCATTTTCCAGTTACCATCTCCCAAAGTCAACAAGGCCGTCGCTACAGCTTCCCTGACCTCTGGTAACCGCTCGACGTATTGTACCATCTGCGCTTTGTAAGCAAACACTCCAAGCGTCGTTTCATAGGCTCGACGTACCGAATGCGTGAAGTCGGCCAATCCGGTGCTGAGCTCGCCGCCCCTGCCCAGAGCGGCGGCACGCAGGTCAGCCAAGAACTCTGGAAAGCTGCGCAGGCACGCAGCGCGTATAGAATGCAAGCCGTCCTTGAGCTCGTTCTCCTTCCGCCCCGACCGCTTGCACATGATGTCGTCCCATTGGGCTTGCAGCGACGACAGGCTGGCGTACGCAGAAAGTGCCAGGAAGGTGTATTTGTGCAGAGAACGTTTGATCAGCGCACCCAGCGAGGAAAGGGTCGTCGTGAAGAGGCTGATGAGAGGGGCGATAAGGGCTGTGAACGTTGTGGTGAGAAGCGATTGTGTCGACAGAGGCGCAAGTTCCAACAGGAGTTCGTACTCTTCCTAGGCAACTGTCAGACAACCCGCTGGGATAAATGAGAGAATACGCACCTCCGCAACAGACAACAGGTTCGCTACCCAAGCCCCGAACTCTCTGCCTGAAGCGACGCCGTCTATGGTCTCTGCCCGATCCACCACACGCCGGGCGTAGTTCTCCAGGCACTTCTTGCCCCACGACCCGCGCATATCCGCGTATCCTTTTTGGGCCTCCCTCAGAGTTGACTGAATAGCAGGCGCAGCAGGATGTGACGGGTGAGTTGCAGGAAGGGGAAGCCGGCGCAGGAAGGTGACGACGGGGACAAGGCTGGGTTTGAGGGACGGCGGGAACGGCGAGAGCTCGAAGTCTGGTCCGTTCGGCGGTGCCCCAGACGATCCTTCTGCGACGATCTTCGTATACAGCTGGGTGAGCTTCTTGGCCCCGGTCTCTACGAGTCGCGCCTGTGCTGTGGTGAGCGCCGCGAAACTACTGCTAGGGGAAGGCGTACGTACGGTGTCTCGGACGTCCCTGTCAAGAGACTTGAAAGCGATACCCGCGTTGAGACGCTCTAAAACATCTGTGTAGGCTTCTAGTTGGCCGGGTTGAGGACTATATGTAGGTCAGTCTTCCGCTGTTGAGCCATAGCACCACACACACCCGCGCAGAATCAGTGCTTCCTCAGCCGCAATACCCTCTTGATTACTTGCGACTTCGTCGATCTTCTGTAACGCAGCCTCAATATCTGAGGCGTGTCAGCTAGCATTCCAAAGATTCAGCGACAAGACTAACTGTTGGCTCTACGGGTCAGAACCTGTGTCGAGTTGTAGAGCGGCAAGATGGTCTTCTCAAGCTTGACGAGCCTTGTATCGAAGCTGGAGAGAATCGCTGTAAAAGATACGGCTCTACAGCCATTTATACGGGGTGACTAGGCCTCACAAGTCATTCGCTGAGATATCTGCCGTGTCTTGTTCAGGTTTTGCTCGAGCTATATGTGCAGGTGGTCGTGAGACGGTGGGGTGTATTCCTCGGCAGTTGGGCTCGTACAAGTTCAATTTCGGCAGTCTCGTCGTCCATAGTATGATAGTGATAGAACTAGCAACGAGAAATCCGAGAGTCCAGGGGATATGACTGAGGAAGGTGATGGCAAGTCGCAAGAGGGCTGGCGCCTACTTAGCCTGCTCGCAGATACAGAGGTCCTCAGTGTTACCAGAGGTTTCGTTCGCTCTTTCATCTCTACTACTGCCTACTTTTTGGAATCTAGCTAGTATTCATCTGAGATTTCTCTTGGCATAAAGATCAATTCTTCAGAACGTTCCCGAAAGTATATTTAGTGCGGTGTCTTGCGCTGAAATACTTCGAGCGCGTGCCAGCATTGCAGACAGCATAAGAAAGCACATGTACGTCTCATGTACAATATTTTGCGCGTGTGCACTTGCTAACGCTTTAACAGCCTAAATGATTAATGGTAGCTCATCACCGGGCTCGCCAAGCCTGCGGGAGCCTGAGGTCAACGCCTACGGAGATCACGAAATCCTGGGTTCAGAGGCAGGCTACTTGGACCCTGTGTACTCCACCATGGTCAACACGTACTATGAGGTCTGGGAGGACTTCTATGCGTGGAACGAACTGGACAGTCTGGGACACCTGGAGTCACTAGCCGCGCCCTCAGACCTGATCGCCACCAGAGTTTTTGACTTTGGCTTTGAGCTGGACTCCGATGGCGCAGCCGCTGACGATGAGGACAGCCGGAAGGGTGAATCTGTCGACCTTTTCACTGTCTGTGAGTGGGACGCGATAGGCCAGCTCACAAAGCACACTACACCTGTGAAGTCTGGCACTGCTGGCAGGCGGCACACCCGCAAGCACAATGCGTGGTTCCAGGAGCATGCACGCTACGAGGCGTGTACACCCTCAAACATGTCCATCTTTGTTGACATTGACGATAAACTTGCCACTTGCCCTTACATCAAGTATGGCGATAGTCCTGAGTTCGACGCTAGACGATACCTTCAACAGTTCAAGGTTGTTTCGTGGCAGGAACCTGGACGAGATCCGGATCGTTAGTACACTATTCAATTGTCTTAAGACTTTATGTTGACGATTTTCACTCAAAGAGACTGTGATTGCGGCCACGACCATCCAGCGACTGACCTCTTCGGCCAAGAACGCCAATGCATCTGGCCTTCGGATTTCCTGGAATGATATTGATGCTTTTCGGATCTTCCCATATGATGCCTCTACTATTTTTCACCAGATAAAGCACACGTATGTCTACGTCATCATTATAGTATATCCTAAGGTTTAACATCCCGTAGGGACCTGCCCTCCTGGCCATCACCGAGCTTTGTGGACCAGCTTAAGCCTTTATGGCACTCAAGCCATGAAATATCCACTGCGGGACGACTCACGGGCATCCTCTCCTCATTCTGTCCCAGACTAGGTTGTATACAGTTCGAGTGCTTTAATGATCGTAAGATGCATGATATTCCCCTATCAGAACGGGGTAAAGAATGTCCACAGCATATCCAACTGGCTGGGTTGCCGGACGTACGGAAACCAGCGGACTAGACAATGAGACATTCAAAGCTAATTACATATCTCGCACACCATGTGGTCAAGACTGTTTCCTTTCCAGAGCTGCAGATGATGTGCGCATTTTGGTTTTCTGACGTTGTTGACTAACCCTTCTCTGCGGTCCTTAGGCACTAGTAGTATGGGATACGAATGAGACTTCACATCTACTAGATGAGATGCTTGTTACAAACCCACACGCTCTCCCCTGCGACATTGCACAAATTCTACTTGGCGAAGTTCCATGCTATAAGGCGACTATGATCTTCCTTCTTCGTCAATTATTCCTAACAAATGCATCATAGATATTCGTCCGACGCGGAGAGAAAATCAGCACTGTCTCGTTGGCTGAGAATAGGCCTAAGCCTGTTCCACCTGCTTGGAGTAGCACGGATACCCTCCGTCATTACGTCCTCACTGACGCTTGCATTTCTAGAAGACCTTGGAGAAATTGAACAATATACAATGTAAGTCTGTTTGTCCGCAATCAAGTCGATGCAGCTTCTGAACACCTGCAGTCCTATACGCTGTGATCACGAGGGGCCGTGCGACAGAAAGAGATGCCCATGCTTCCGGGAGGGTGTACACTGCCAAAGGAACTGTCTATGCGATGCAAGCTGTGCGTGATTGCATACTCTGTAGATGATTGACACTGCGATGGCACGGGAATAGGCGATTTACGCTATGACGGCTGCGAATGCTCTGCAAAAGACCATGAGCATAGTATGTGCTCGAGGTATGTCTTTCTAATCTTTCTAAATGCCTTGATAATGACCATTGTTATCGCGCAGCGAGTCCAAGCGGGGAAAGTGTTACTGTGCCGCGTACAGCTGGGAGTGCAACTCCGAGCTGTGTGGGCATACCGCCAGCAGGAAGCAACGGTAAATTGATCTGTTCATCGCTGCTACGGATCATGGTGAGCGCAATTTTCCAGGCTCTTGTCCGTCAACCAGAACGCAGGTACTATCTCGTGCAAAAATGTTGACGTGCAGTGGAAGCTATCACCGGTGACTTCTGGTGCATTAGTATAATCCTGCGGCTTGCTGACGACGCCATTTACGATGATACAGCCCATCGAAATTAAGACGGGCGCATATGGCTTGGGGGCGTTCGCCAAGCAACTGATACCTCGGAACGAGTTCGTTGGAGGTGAGGAGAGCCGGTATCGCCTGAGCTTTTATTATTATTCCTAACCCGTTGTATAACACAGAATACATCGCTGAGCTCTTCATGCACACCAGGTATTATGTCGATACCAAGGAGTAAGCTTCCCACCTTGCGTTTATGTCTCGACTCAGTGGCACCCGATTGGTTGCATTCCATAGTTTCCTGCACAAATTTACGGGCTACAACTACTCTTTCTCTCTGAACACCTCGGTCGTCGCCGACGCAGCCAACGTCGGTAACGAGATGAGGTTCTTCAACCACTCGGTGGAAGAGGCCAACATCGAGCCCAGGGGTAAGTCGCGTAGAGCATGCCTCCGTTGAAACTAGGCTTACCGGGATCACAGTCAAGCTCGTGAACGGCGACCACAAAGTTACATTTTACGCCCGTAAGTATCTTTCGTGAATCTAACGAGCAGCGCATCGACCGCAGTCCTAGTCCGCCAGATTAAGAAAGGCGAAGAGATCCTCTTCAATTACGGCGACAATTACTGGAAAAATGATTAGTTCCCAACTCAGACAGTCATGTACTACAAAAATATGAAACGGTCCCTGTGTGTTCACAATGAATGAGTGGACAACACTACAAATACAATAACTATTATTCCGACGGGAATTGGTCAGAGCGCTGTGCGCGTGGCTCAGTCGTTCGAGGACTCGTCGTTGGAATCGATGAGGCTAGATAAACGCATGAGTATAACGGTTCGGCGAGGAAAAAAGGCGGTAGTCGCACCTATACTGTTTCAGCAGCGAACACTCGCCCCCGTTCTCCAGGTCGATGCTGTATGAATAGAAGTAGCCGTCGGATGAGATGACCATGACCTGGGGCATGGTTCCGCTTAGCGCGACTATGCATCGGGCACCACTGGTAGGTAGCCTGAGGGAGGCAAAATCGCGTGTTGGCTCCCAGGCCTCCGTTAAAGCACTTGGGAGATATCCGCCTACGGAGGACGTTAAGTTCTTCGTCAGATGCAGCGATCGACGTCGGAGGCTCGACCTATCATGATGTCAGCCACTACACGGGGCGGTTGAACAACCACTTACGACACACTGTTTCCGCTCTTCTGCTGCGCGTACGCTTCGTAACCTCCATCAAGACCACTTGTGCCTTCCCGGCTGTCAATCGAGTTCGACGGGCTGGACGGCGTTGTCGGCGACTTCGAGTTCGCCGAGTTATTTCCAGAGCTAGACTTTTGCGGACCAAGCTTAAAGATGTGCACAGTATCGTGGGCGGAGCTAACTGCGAGCAGCGTAGAGACGAGGTTGAAATTTATAGAGTAGATCTTGGTCTCGCGCGTCCCACGGCGGAATTGGTATAGCTTCTCCGCTCCAGGGATGCTCCAGACACGAATAACGGTACCCTTATCCGAGGCCGTGGCGAGCATCGTCCCGGACTGATTGATGGACAGTAAGGATATCGGCGACTTGTGCGCCTGGATGACGTTCGCTGTCGTGAGCGAGCGCGTCGAGAATAGGAGGACGTCACCAGTCTGCGCCGCAGTAGTGGCTGGTGGTTGCCCGGAGTTGGTTTGTGTAAGCGATGTCGGTGAGGGTACCGGCGATGAATATGCGAGGTACGAGTTGTCCGAAGATGGCGACAGTGCAACAATGGCTGTGGCAAGACATGAGCAGCGTGCATTGGCGCAGGGAGATATTACGTGCCTTCAGGGTTAGGAGAAGTTTCTATTACGTGCAGCAGTCGCATATTGGAGATGTCGTAGATATAGATTTCGACTTCTAGGACAACAACTAGCGTCTTGCGGTTCAGCTTTACGGCAAGGATCGACGACGGAAAGAGCAGCTCGCATATCATGGATTGCCTCTGCGTTGAGCGTCATTAAGCTTGACATTTGAAGCCCATAGCGGCGCTACAAACCTTCGTGTTTACAATCTGCAACTTCCGAGGACTTGAATGTGGCTGGTCCGCCGCGCCGACGAGCGCGATGAGTGACGTGCAGAACAGCATCTCTACAGTCCCCCTTGCGCCATCGTCTGCAGTGTTTCAGCGTACAATTTCAACCTCTGAACCACATCACGCACTCATGGTGTATACGCGACCAAATGGATCGCAGTTCGTTATGCTATAGCCTTTCCGTGTACCAACAGATATACACCTACGATCATGAGCGGAAGGCGCGGTGCGTCCTGGTACACACTCACGTGAAGTCCTGGTTAAAGTTCGCGAACAGCATATTGTTTGAAGTCCGATCGGCCATTGCAGGAGCAGAGTTGGTCGTCGCTGTTGTGGTTGTTGAAAGCTCCGGCAGGGCAGATGGTGAATGGGCTCGGTCAAAGAAAGTAAAACGCCGATAAGATATAGACACGCCGCTTTGCTGACCTGACTCGTTACGGTAATGTGCAGATAAGATTCACTTACCATATATGCAATAAAAGAGATAAGACCACTTATGTTCGCTTACTGACCGGCTGACTAAGCAAAGACTTGCGGGTAACGCAGCGGTCTCGGCACTTGCATCTTACCTCCACTTACTGTCCCTGACCCCCGCCTTCAGTCATGGTGCGTCGAACTCACTGTTCAACTCGATAGTCCCAAGCTTATCCCTTCATGTAGTCTACCAACTGTCGCCGCCGCCTTATTCGTGATTTCAAGAGGCTATCTAGCGACCCGCCTGGTGGCATCTCTGGAAGCCCATGCCCCGACAACATTATGCTTTGGAATGCGGTCATTTTTGGCCCAGGTGAGTGTGGATGCTATCCAGCGAGGATCTGTTCTGACATTCATCGTAGTGGATACACCGTTCGAGGACGGCACTTTCAAGCTTCTCCTTACTTTTGACGAGAGCTACCCAACAAAGCCGCCAACTGTCAAGTTCTTGTCTCGGATGTTCCATCCCAACGTCTACGCAAATGGAGAACTCTGTTTGGATATCCTCCAGAATCGATGGTCGCCGACGTACGATGTTGCCGCCATCCTCACCTCCATTCAGAGTCTCCTGCATGATCCGAATCCCAATAGTCCGGCGAACGCTGAGGCCGCGCAGCTGTACCGGGAGAACATGAAAGAGTACGTCCGACGAGTTAGGGCGACGGTCGAGGAAAGCTGGCTCGACCCAGAGGAGCACGAGAAGATGGACGCAGAGGTTGTTCCGCCAGAGTCGGCAGCTTGATACAGGATCATTCATCGGACATTACGCATATTGGCCCGGCGCGAGCATTAATATAATCATGTTGTATGTTATCCCCACATCTGTCACTGCGTCCTATGGTATGGTATGGCACTCTGATCCATAGCGCAAAATCTTGTACGACATGTCAACTGAACTTTCCTAATCGGTGTATGCATGGGTCTTGTCCGTCCACCAAGCTGCTTTCCGGGCAGTGCCCGCGCGTCCTCACGCCCTTTTCTATATTACCGAGGTCCTCTGTCATCAAGGGTCAAGGGCAGCGTTGTGGGAAGCCGAACTCCCGCTGCAGATCATCCTTTGTGGGCAAAGAAAAGCGTTTTTCGTCAGTATTCATCCGACTTCTGAACATGCCGCAGGAGTGCGTCCCCATGGCTATCTTCGACCGTCAACGTTTTAACGTTCAACCGTGCTGGGGACTTACTGCGATTCTCACTGACCGGTCGTGTGACCACAACCCTGCCGCGTGTCAGGTTGATGAATACGAACTATGCAACGCATGCCAAGACCAGGTTCCGTGAGTATCTTCAGTCCTTGCTTCTCGTTGCCTATTCTACATTACTATAAGAAAGTATATAGCTGCTGCTAGCACACGTCCGCGGCATCCGGTCGAACATCCTTCCCGGGCCCTTGGATCCATCCAAGGTCTGTCAGCGTACATCCACCAGCGCCCGACGGTGGTGTGCATAATCCATATCCCAAGCATTTTGTTATGCTTCTGCTACTACTCTGCGCACTCGTTGTGAACATCTCCGTGCAGAGGTACGTAATCTGCTCTGTTCCCGATGCTTGGAGCACCGTTGCAGGATACTTTGTGCCTGTTTGTCCCGGCGACTTTGTGGCGCCGCACTGCGCTTTGAAGATGATATATGCCAACATATAGCCAACAGGGCACCAGCAAGATAGAGGCCCAGTATTTTGACTTGCCAATATTTTTCCCTCCTGTGGCGTACCAGTCCTCCTCTCGTCCAGTAGGACCCAGCGCTTGCACTCTGAGCAGGTCGTAGGCTACTCCTCAAACCGAATAAGTGTATTACCTATACTATGTGCGAGAGACGAGCTAACGAGATCTCATAAACTCATCCTCCTTGTCACCTTAACGATAGATTTCTGAGTCTTAATTTCCTACATAGCGAGTCTTCAGCTTTCGGCATGCATCCCGCTAGGGATCCACTCACCATGGCCTCTGCTGTAACATCACACTGCTTCTCAACGTGTCCGCATCTGATGCACTGACTAGCTAGGGTACTTGTCACCGAGGGCTCTCCGACGCTACTGGTAAGCGCATTGTGCAGCGTCTGCACGCTCTCCTGCAGGGCGCGCAGCCCTTGGGCATGAGCGTTGTGTTGTGCCTGCGAGTTGACGCGAAAGCTATGGATGTCGATCCGAAGCTGTAGCGCGGATTTAAGCTAATGATAGTAAACTTCAATTCATGAGTCTGGCCAGAGAGGGACACTGTGCTCACGAGAAAAGTCTGCACAGCCTCATCGAGGTCGGTCTCGTATTCAAGTAGCTGTTCGCTGAGCAGTGGAAAGGTGAAGAGCGCTTTGACTCCGCGCTTCCGAGGCGAGCAATGCTGGAGATAGTCCGCGATTCTTTGCAGGATTCTGCACAAATAGCGTCGCGGTCAACGCTTACGAAGAGATCAGACAGCCTACTCATTAAACGTTGCCACATCCTCTACGAGCCTGGGGATCGCCTGCTCGTTCGCCTCTCGTAATGCCCTGGACACCACCTCCAGCACGCTTCTAATTCGGTCGGCGAGGGCGGCCTTGCCAATTTTCCACGCATAAAGACCCTGAGACGCGGCCTTCAGCACACAGACACCCAGAGTCCTGACGCACGTCGCACGCACCTCAATTCTACAGATGATAATCAATGCCACGCCAATAATTGACTGGACCTGCGTCCCAGCGACAGGCATTGCGCCGGCAACGCTTTGAAGGGCTTGGAGGCACCGCCTCGCGGCCGCAAGAGCCCTCTGGGTCGCCCTGTCCCTGTTTTGTTTCTGTGGCAGTTCACAAGACAAGTACTGCTCTCCGCTCATGCTGCATAAGACTGCGAGTGGTGGTATGTGAGTCGGGCGCGTCGGGATATCGGCGTCGAAGTCTAAGGATATTTCGTACAATCGTCAGACGTTATTATACCGGTGCGCCTGGGAACGTGATGTGGGGTTGAATTGGGAGTCATCGTACAGCCTTGATCACGTCCAATCAAGGCGCTAGGATGCCGTTGCGCGCTGGGGGAAGTGTGATTTCCAGAGGTGTACAGGTGTATGTATGCTACACGGCGGTATCCGGTCCAATGCTACAGTCATCTATAAATATGAAAAAAAAACAATCCTGGTTTATGCAGCTGAAATAAAATGCGGAGCCATCAAGCGGGCTGAGGGACGACGAACGTCAGAAACAAGAATCTGGCAGCACATCTAGTGGATGAGACCCACCATTCTGAGCTTGAACGAGTCATCAACATCATCACGTATGGCCTGGTTAAGTTGCCTGAGCAGAGATCAGTTTCATCTGAAGCGGAGCAGGAAACAGACAGAGACGCACGCGAGAACAGCTACCGGCGATGGACACGGGGGCACCATCTTCAGAAGAGCAGGCGGGATATGCTCAAGCGCATGGTATGTTCCGTTGTACCCGGGCGAGTCAAATTTAAACATGATTTGCACGGCTATAAAGTCGGAGCCCTGCCTCTGAATGAGCGGCTGGAGGTTGCAGAAGTCGTCTGGTGTCTCCTCGAAGTCGACGCGCGCAATCTGGAAGATGCGACCGTACCCGCGTACGACATCTGGTATTGCGGTGCAGGTAAGAACCATCCGGTTGCGCATGCCGGCGAGCCGATCGTCGTCGAGCTTTAGCACGCATCGCGCGTACGACTTGATTATCGCGCGGAGCGCCGCATTCGCGAGCACGTATCGGGCGTACCGTAGGTTCGCGTCTTTGCTTGTTTGTGTCTCTTCCGCAGGAATGCAGTAGGCTTTATGCCGGGGCCTATTGTGGCTGATAAGCACGACGGGGATCAGGTGTGGCAGAAGTTCTCACCAGTCTTGTCTCTGACACTATGTGGAGCGTTAGCGCACGGGTATCCATGGGCAGAACAAGAAGTAACACACATTTGGTCCACAGTAGCATACCTGAAGACACTGATAATGGTAAGAGGGAAATAAGCTGCATTCTACAGAGACAAAAGCGCGACGACGTACCCTTGAGCAACGCTTCAGCTGCACCTTCTCACCCGAACACTGCACTTTCCCACACGACGGCCTTTCACAGCATATGCCCGCCTTTCCGTGCTCTTTCAGATACTCGCGGGTCGCGTGTGGCATCTCCGCCACTATCGGCGAGTCGTGGATTATCGCGACCCGCGAGGCCTTCGCGGTATTGTAGTCGTGGGATTTGCGTGGATACATGCGATTGGTAGCATCGATGAGATCGACGCCGACACCATCGTCGGGGATGTCTGGCTGAGGTTTGTACGGTAGGCCGAACGCGCCTGCCTGGAGGAGCGATTTCTTCCATGACTCGGGCACCTCGCGCCCCGACGGCAGAACGTCGGGGAGCAGCTCCTCGATCGATTTCGGTATCCGTGTTGACTGGTTTTGTTGCGGGCGGGGCGATTGGCTGAGTTTCGTAGGGCGAGCCGGCATAGTGATTATCGTGGTTTGAGAAGGAGGAGTGCGTCGTGGAATGTGACAGGAAGCAGGTGATATCTGTATGTCGTGAACTCTATCCCTTCGAGGTGACAATCTCGCCCAGTCTCATTGCAACATGTAATCACCAAACCGCCTCCCCGCGTCGCTGTATGTCGGATAATGTGCCACGTACAGGCGAGGGAAGCAGGTAGTGGCCAAAGAATGATAAAGGCGTAAATCAAGGGTGGCGCCCGTGAAACGTGACCTGCAAAGCACAAATACGTTTAGATTCGCATGTTTTCCACAGCACACGACCAGTTGTAACAATAGGCGATACAAACTACTACACATATCTATACATGACCCATTTAACTGAACAGCCAAGCCGAAACAACGTGGCGTAGGAGCCACGCAGAGACTGTCCGAACGATAGAACGGACGCGACACCATACGCCCGCGACCGAGCGTAGTCACCCGCTGACTTCGGTACCATTAACTTTAACGACAATTTTTACGGGAAATGGAGAGATCCCCTGGGCATTGGTGATGAGCGGGACGGCTGACCGACCGCGCTCAGAGGATGTATGCGTCAGCATACTTTGCAGACTCTTCGCCAGGGTAGAAGCAAGGTCTGCGTCGTATTTTTGACGTTCTGAATGGGGAGTTAGCAAAGCGCGATACATAGGAGAGGCGAGTCAGCCATACCTCTCTCAGGGATGGGCGGCCGGATTTCAGCGTTGACGACCCTTTCCGGCAGTTCATGAGCGAGACCACGGACGGCCACCAGGCGGCTTACCACTGTTCCCATGGCACCTCTTCCTGTAATGAGCTGCATAAGTATTGTCTTTATGGAGCCAACAGGCGGGATGCACTTCACTAATCAGAAACCATGACTTCCTGGGTCGCTTCTCCGAGAACGTCACAATGAACTGAAACATGGTCAATATGGCACCACTTACAGCTGAGATGAATGCACATACCTCGCCCCGCTTATTCACGTCACTCTCGACACCCTTCCAGAATGCGTCCACTTTTAGGTCGACGAGCTGTTTAATCTCAGGATCGTCTACGGCAGGCTGCCACGGACTTTAACGTGAGGGATAATCCTAGACAGCAAGCTAGCTCACCATGGATACATCTAGCACCTCTCGTATCTCCGGTTTCACTGTACCAAATAGTCGGTGGAACAGGATGGAGTGCAGTACGGCGGTGAGAACGTCCCTAGCCGTCCGCCGTTCAAGCGACTAGCTAGCATCGCTTCAGTTTCCCCATCCCGCATGCTGCTGGGCGGCTCACCAAGTCAATTTTGACAATTGGGTAGTTTGGGCTTGACATCGTCAGAGCGCAAGGAATGCGGTTATGAAAGCACAGAACTTGAAGGTCCAATATCCGCACGAGACACGGCATGTGCATGAGGGGCCATCTTATCTGCGATTTTCTCTTTGTGGAGTGCTAATCTGATATGCCTCGAGAGCACGTGCACTATGATTAACGGCACGTGAGCGCTCTCGTGTCAAAGTGGTTTTCCGGGTGACTGCCCGTCATGCGCGTCGACAACGACAAAAGTGTCCTGGCCGGGCCACTCCGCTGTGCGTACGGCCGTGAGATACTCCAGCAAACTTCTGACAGGATGGCGTGCAGGATTTTCTGCCCGTCGCCAGAACACGAAAGGCTGGATATCCCTCGCGAGGATGGCTGACGCTTCGGCGTACGTCTCGGCTGCTGCTGACCACCGGCGGAAGAAGAGTGCGTTGGACAAGGCAAGGGCGAACTATGTGCGTAATGCTTGCATATCTACTGCTTGCGATAAGCTGAAGGCCTGCAGCTTTGTAGTCAGCTGCGCCTCCGGTTGCAGTACGCAAAATTGAAGGTTGACCATGGTTGGGTGCGTTAGCCTCGCTTCATATTATTTTCTAGACCTGAGCTGTTATGTGTGCCGTTTTTTAGCAAACGCAAACTCTGAACGAAGTCGAAAACCTCTACTTCCGACACTCTCAGAGGCGGCGTCTTGCAGCGGCTTCGGCAAGCTTCAGTTTCTGTTCAACCTCATCGAACGGCCTGGGATCAACACCTTGTCTCCCCCTTGGTCTCTCGACTGCCCAGACGTCTGCGTCCAATCTGCCTACATCCAATACACTCGCTCAACAAAGTCGGCACGATAATGCCAACGCTGTTTCGGAATCTCCCCAAGTCTCTCCTTCAACAAACACGCCCACATCTTCACAAAGCCCAGGTGCGTCTAAGAATAGTGTGATCTCTACATGAAGCTCACGTCTACCGCCCTTTGCAGATACCCCGCCTGCCGGAGACTTACGGACATGTCCCGACAGTCCGAGCAAATCAGCAAGTCGGTCCACCCAAGAAATTACTTCAGCTACAACTGACGCTGACGCCGCGCTGCCCATAGCCGCGCTGAACCCATCGAAGGCTGCGCAGTCATACTACCCAAGCACATACAACACGCCCTCCGACGCCCCACCGTACACACCGAACCCATACGCACACTACCCCGCACGCGTCATGCAAGGCTACACACAAGCCGCACCTGAATACGGCATGTACAGCGCCAGCAACGGTGGGAGCACCGCATACTCTCCACACAACTACCTCGCGAAGGCATATGTCTCGAGCTCACCGTTCCCGATCAACATGCCCGCATCGCCGTCTGCGGGTGCAGGCGCGTTCGGGGGGACGAGCCAGGCGCTGACGTATGATTCTTTCTGGTCGACGCATGCAAGCTGGAATGTACACGCTGCGACTGCCGCGAGTAATGATCATAGCACATCGGCTGCCCCGAGCGGCGCCGTCGCGTCTGTTGTGCCTATCCCGGTGCCCACGAGTTCCAGCGAGGAATCACGAAATACTTCTTGTTAATCGATCTTTCCGGTTGGATTTACCACTGCATGCTACCCGTTTTGCACCGTTGCACGTATCATAATCACTTATTGTCATAATGATAGCCAAAGTCCAGAAATATCATAGTAAGAGACATAGTAAAGAGATCTGAAAAGCATCTACTCGTCTCCGCGACGCGCCAGGAAGACGCCAGCCTCGCTGTTCTTGCGCCTGAGCCCGCCAGAGAAGCCGACGCTCGGGAAGCCGTTCGGGGTATCAATGGTAATTACGGCCCCCGCATCTGCCGCAGCTGCCTCTTCTGTGAGTGGAGCCATGTCGTGAGCCGCAACCACCGGGAAGGACACAACTTGTGCAGGGGGAGAGGAAATCGACAGGGACTGCGAGGTGGTCGAGTTGTTGGACCGCTTCGATGACTTCTTCCTTCCAAGCTGCGGCTGCTGTTGTTGTTGGCTGACATAGGAATGATCGTGCTGCATCGAGTCCGTACCAGAGGTGCGCGATTGCGAGTCCGAGACAGAGCGGCTCATGGCACTCCCTCCTCGCTGACGCTTGGCATAGACATCAGCGCCGAAATCAGCGCCATCTACGTCCGCTTCTTCGTGCACATAGGGCGATACCGCTGGGGCATGTTCGAATGGCCCATATTCATCGGAATAGTCGGACGATGAGAACGCATCCGTATTGGGGGACGCAACATACGACGGTCCACTCCCCTGAAACAACACGTAAGACAAGAGCTTGCAGAGCGGGTAAAGCACACTTACAGGAAACCCTTCGAATTCGTTCTGGTTTCTGTCCAGTGCGAGGGCAAGCGCAGCCTCCCTGGCAGCCTTTTTCTCTCGCCTCCGCCTCCTCCTCTCTTCTTTTGCCAGCCTCCCCGTTTCCCGCTGAGCAGCTCCTTCTGCGGCACGTGTCGCGGATAGCTGAGCTATGGCCGATGGGTCCAGCGGCGCAGCATCTGAGTCCAGCGTCGACGCAGAGATCGTGCGTGAGCGCGATCTGCGATACGTGTCATCGTCCTCATCTTCAGACAGCTGGATCGGGGGCTTTCCAAATAGGTCGAAGCCGAAGAGTCTAATGCTCTTGTGCGGCTTGCGTCGCTTGCGCCTGCGCGTGTCGTCGCGGCCGACATTTGAGTGCAATGAGAGTGTTTCGACATCATCCGTGTCTTGCAGTAGGCCCTCGAGCTCGTCAGCGCGGGCGCGGGGGACGTAGTCTGGCCCGCGTGAGCTGAAGTGGTGGTTGTGCTGCTGCTCCTCGTCCTCGTCCTCGTCCCGCCGCGGTTGGAGGCATGTGAGACACGGCGCAAACGCTGCGCGCAGATTATCTGTCCACGAGAACCGCTCCATGCTTGCGTGGCACGCACGAGTGCACGCTGGTCGTAGGAGGACAGAGGGTGGGATCGAAGATGCGGAAAAGACATGAGGCTCCGGCACTGCGTGAATGATGACCGGTATGCGGGGACGCCGAGAAATAGATATTAATTTCTTGATAAAATCTATTTCGGGGCTTATCATATTTGAACGCCTAATAAATGGCGCATCAATCCCGCCATCATCACAATATATCTTGAACTCAATCTATTTCTATGCCCATATTTCACGAGCCCAGAACAATTGTAGATTCTTGCCATATCGACAATCTAAAGGATCTCTACGCTGCAGTGCAGCGTGGTATAAAAACCAACACACGATTCCGGACATGCTCTGTCAGTGGATATACTGCCTCTCAAAATATATAATCTCACAGCTGGCCCTCATGTGCGAGTAGAGGCCGTGGCTCGGACTTGCTGCCCGTTCATTTGATCTCCAGTGGGCGCACAGTGTATGACAGTCATAACCAGAGGCCGCTGCCCTGGAGACGAACCGTCTTTTAAATTTTTTCACAGTAGTGGACATTTCAGTGTTATCGGTCTCAGCGGACGGACCAAAGCAGCCGTTCCTGCATGCCAAGTCATGCCTACCGTTGTGCCACAAGCACGTGACGGCGTAGTAAATTTGTACGTCTCCGTCTTTTGTTCTGGTGTTGAAATTCAACGTTAGCTCACCAGAGCACCAGCGCAGGGCCTCTGGTGTGTTGACAGCTTAATGATCTGACATTCTGTTCACGGAACCTGCAGCTTTTGGGTCATTTCTTCAACATCTGCTGCTACGGCGTTCTCTCCACCCAAGTTTGTAAGTAGCCCTAGCATCATCTTCGCCGGTTCAGCTCGAGCTCTTACTTCACATCAATTTAAAGACTTGTACTATCTCGCGTTCCCAAGAGACAAACGTTTAGTAAAGGCGGTCGTCTACACTCTGTACATGTTCGAGAGCTGTCAGACAGCATTGTTGATTTCGTCTGCGTTCCAGGCATTCGCGGCACATTATGGAGACGAGGCAGCTCTTGCTTCTGTGCACATCGATGGGTTTACGATTCCAATGCTATCGGGCATAGGTCAGGACCATACTCTTCTCCCAAATTATATGCCGGTAGCTTACTACCTTTCGCCAGTGAGCTGCATTGTGCAGATGTTTTATGCGCGCCGAACCACGATTTTATCGAGCTCCAAGTTTTTGGGACTCGTAATAGCCTCCGTATGTTGTGGCCCTGGTATTAGAGATACTGGTCTGAGCTAGTACAGCTCTCCGCTTTACAGGTGACCGCGGCTATCGTCATAGGCATCCAGATGAGCGTGCTCCAGACCGCCAATGACTTGGCGTCCACGGCCCCAGTCAGCTCCAGTGTGAGTCTTCTCATGCGATGTTAATTTCTATTATCACTCAGCGTTTCTATGTTAGATATGGTCCGGTGCGAGCGCGCTGTGCGACTGTGTCATCGCCACATCCACGACATGGCTAGTACGACATTTATCTCTCCCAAAGACCTCTAACCAAGATGGGCGACAGCTCTTGCGAGCAGACGTGCAGTTTCCCATGACGAAAACCGTGATTACCAGAATGATCCGTATTGTGATCGAGACAGGAACTCTGACTGGTACGTCCACTCCGGCTTTCCCGTAACCCGCTCTAACTTCGGCAAACCTCTATCCGTGGCAGCCACAGTCGCAATAGTCAACCTGGTGCTCTTCTTCGCTTTCCCAACCGAGGGCTACTACTCTTGCGGTGTCCTCGTGATCGCGAAGCTGTACTCGACGTCGCTCCTCGTGCTTCTCAACAGTCGCATGCGCATCGTCGGGAGCCGCAATGAGTACGTGTGTGCCGAGGAGACTTGGATCCCATCTGGAGAGGAGGTGCCATCGCGCAGGATCGGCCCGTTTACAAGTGCTTCCCAGCTGGGCCTTATCGCCGTCGGTGAACTGCCGCCGCAGCCCGGATCGCCTCCAGAAACTCATCAAGACGACCGTTCGGTAAGTCTCGCCGTTTGTATATCTTGGAAAATTAGTCTAATACTAGTCGATATGTCTCACAAGAAGCCTGACGGTATTCTTTCCTCTGCGTCCCATCGCAGCTTGACAAAAACCTCGTGACAAAATATAGCGCAAGTGTATCTTCGACATCTTTCTTGTGTACCCTGGAGTAGCCCAGGTCGTTGTGATAGCGTCAGATCAATGCTACATTTCCGTAGACATATGTTACATCAAGCACGAAGCGATACATCGAGCTAAGGCGGCGTAAACGACGATCTCTTTTTACAAGCACTGCGAGTAGTAAGCTGTGCAGACGCTTGATCAGCCTTCTGCGAAAGCAATTCAAAGAGTGATGCTCACGGTTGACGACAGTGCAAGTTGAGCCGGAGGCGCAAATGGTGGCGCCAGTGTATCCCTGGCCACCGCACTGGCCGTACTGAGCGACGGTGGGCCCTGTCGGGGCCGAGGTTGGGGTGCTGCTGGGGGAGGACGCCTGCGGAACAATGTTTTAGTTGGAGGAGGCCGACGTCAACTGATCAGGTTTACTCACGGGCACGGAGACGGTAGGGGTGCTGCTCGGTGGGGGAGCGGGAGCGCCGGTGCCAGAGCCGTAGAGCGGAGGGCCGGGGATGATGTAAGTGGTCTCCGTCTGCGCAGCGTTGCTGTAGACGTCGATGTCGACTGTATGTGCCAACGCAAGTCAGAAATCGATGCGCTCGCGTGGACAGGAAGTGTACTCACGGCCCGGGTCGGTGCTGCTGTAGGCACCAGGGAAGGTGACGAGCTCATCGGTGGTCGGCGCTTGGTTGCCTCCGCCGGTAATCTGAATCTGCGCACACTCGGGGTAGAATTGCTAGAGGAGTTCGTCAGTCTCTAGATAGTCAACGGTACGTGGGGAATTTACGCACAGCTGGGAGGGAGTGCAGGGCGATCGTCTCGAAGCGGATGAGGTAGTTGCCGGAGGGGACCGTGCTTGGGATCGTTGTCGTCCAGCTCGAGTTGTCGGCGATCATCTGGCCATCGGCCCAGGAGCCGCTGAAGACAGTGCCGGAGAGGAGACCGGCCTCGTCGATCTTGAACCACTGGAGGCTGTCGGAGTTGACGCCGGTGCAGGTCGAGCCGGGGCATTGCGCGAGATACGTCAGCTGTCACGGGCAGAATCCATCAGCTTCAACTTAGGTCCGCTCGACGAAATTGCATACCATGGGGCCAATGGCATGAGGCCAGGGGCTGTTCCAGTAAGCAGTAATAGCAGAACCAGCAGCGACGGTCGCGGTAAGTTGGAGAGCGCTAGAGGTACCGTCGTCGTTGCAAGACAAGGTGGGGTCGGTAGGGTCAGTGATTGGGTTGCTAATGGCGAATAGTCAGTAAAATATCCTTGCGGGCTGCACAACCAAACTCACTAGGTCGACCAAGGGCGTTCAATGCTGGTCTGACCATCGGGGGAGTTGTAGGGAGCCCTGATCAGGGATCAGATTTGACGCTCCTTGAATGGAACGTGGTTACACACCATCCCTGGTACCAGTTGCCCGCGTTCGAGTACGCCAGAACACCACCGTGAGCGAAGACGGTGGGGAGCGCAGAAGAGGCGAGAGCGACGAGAGCGGCGAAGGCAAACATCTTTCGGCTAGTGCTTGGGAGCTGAGGCGACTTGTCCTGGTCTGAGGAATTGGCCGATGCTGAAGGCAAGCCTTATATATACCATCGAGCATAAGGCGTCCACGCAGATGTCGTGTCAACATTTGCATTGATTCCCTCGGTTATTGGCCGCTGCAACGGATATTCTACGGGATGCATCAATTGCCATAAGCATGTCGGACACAAGGTCCTGAAGCGTTGTTGTTCACTATCACTTTCACGAGGGGTCAAAGAAAACGTGCCGAAAGTCAGAAGAACTCTTGCCTTTGCACGGCACGGTAGAAAGTCGCTTCTCCACAGCCTATCCACGAGTTCACAAAAATAGTCTTGATCCGCAGGACAATATCGATTGCGAGAAAGAGCCTATTAGTGTCCAACTTCGGAAAGTTCTGATGTAGGCGAGGATCCGGGGTAGCGTGGGGTGAAAGCGCAAATAGGAGGCCAACGCTCTAAAATGTGTATCTTGTATATTTGACATCCAGGCTGTTGATACGCGTGCATTCAGTGAGATAGACGTTACTATTCTGAATTACGGAAGAGACAGGTGCTCTAGTTCGGGCGAGGCTTAGGATACATTCACTGTGAAGAATCGGGCAATTACCGCGTAAACTGCCGTAGTTCTTGAGTTCCTCTCGTCGCGAAGAAGAGATGATCCTTGAGCGATAGTCCGGTGACATGCGCCTTCCACCGGACATGACGCCGGATCTGTCGTCGGCATGAATTCGGTTCAATTTTTCACGAGGACGGGCGTACACGTTGACATGTGGCTTCACTGACTGGCTATACGAGATTTCAGCAGAGATGGTATCGTTCATCCAGCAGAGGATGGAGCGTACCTGAGCGTACCTAGCGCACTGTATTCTGCCGAACTTCTGGAACCCATGCGGCAGTGGGTGTTGTTGACTATCTGGTTCGCTCCGGCGCTAGATTCACATAGCCAACATTCCGCGTATGAACCTGGGGCGAGCTGGGCAGCTATCTCCTCGAAAACTATGGCGATGCTGGCAGAGACGAACAGGGACTTTCTTGAGACAGTTTGATGGCGCTTGCGATTCCACCCAGGGCTCCCACGCCACGTGTCCTCGCTCTTAACAAGATATTCTCTGATATATCGACCTCTTGGAGGTCCTTTCTCAAGATGCCGCTGTAGAGCACAGGCGTAAAAGTATCAACAGGAGCTCACGTTATGCGCTATTCAGTCCCACAGCCAAATCTTCGATGATGTCGTATCATTCTGCAAACTTCGGGCCCGTACGGATTGTAGCGCGAAATCTAACACATCATAAGCACTACTCACGCGCGAGTGTCCAAATTATGAGTGAGAATATCGGTTTGCAGCCAAGCAAACAGAGTGGATAGGCTCAGTAGCATTATACCAGGGAAGTGCTGTCTTCTGAGGCTTCACTCTTCGCTCTGCCGGACGTGCAACCGTACACCTTATAGCGGCTGTGATACCTAGAGGGAGGAAGGTCGGCGGAATGTAGTTGTGGAACCAACCTAACTTACCGGCTCTCAAACTCTATCTCTTGAACTGTGCACCACTGTCGCTGACGATATTCCGCCCTTGGTATCCGCGACAATAGAAGATTTAACTCCTTCACAGGTACACAGTGTCGATATTGTGAAGGCGCGGTAGATACTGTCAGGGTCATTCGGCACGTCGGTAGCTCATAGGGTCTGGAGTAGCACGCCCGTTTGAACAACCCGTAGCTAGAATCGAGGGGCTGGGCGAGTAGTGGGTATTATGAATATGAATTGCCGAGGAGACGATGCAGCAATGTGCCTGTGCCGTGTATACAGCGAGCTTTCGTTCTAATTCTCCAGGTCGGTGCTGGACGAGTAGGTGTACTAGTCCTTGGAAATGATCATGTTCTGAGGGCTCCACTCAACGCAGCAGCGCATAGCACATAGCCGGTGAACAGCTTGAGAAAGCGACGTAACACGACGGCTCCCAGATGTCCAGAGTATTGGAAGGGTATCCGTGTGCAAGTGATGTTGTGTTCTTCGTCAGATGCGGCGGCGAACGTCGTACGCCGGACCTGACTTGACCTCAGCTACAACACACGGAGTAGCTGAATGCTGACTTACAGGATGATGTTGTCACTTTGCCACGACTCCAGATACGTCTCTCATTCTTTATTCAGAACTGGCGTGCCTCCGCGCCCGCTGACCGAGTTCGAAGGGCTGAACGATAGCGGCGGGGTTCTTCACCAGGGACAAGCGGTCTGCGTATACAGCGAGAGCAAGGTCTGTCTCTGAGCTATTCGTCGACATGATAGGTCTTACGAGCCACCATTCGCATCGTCGCGCGGCTCTGTGGGTGGCTCGGTTGGTGAGTAGTTCGCGGTTCATGAACGTTCAAGTTCAAGCTGTAGGCGCCGAGACTGGGGCAAGCGTCTGCCCCTGAGAGACTACTTAGTAGCTGGGGCCTCATAGTACGCCAAAATTACAACAGTTCGATTCAGCACCAAAGCTAGGTAGCCCGCGATTAGTGATCATTGGCGGTCATATATAGCTCGATTGCACAATGAATATATGTGCCATTCGGTAATCAACAGAAAAGATATCTGAAAACTTGAATACATCACAAGAACATCGTAGCTGAGCCTCGGAGGCTTTACATTCTAGCCAGACACGTACCTTCTGAACATGTACTGCCCGATGGTCGAACCAGCCTGAGGTCTTGATGCTGGAGCGATGCTACCTCCCCCTTGGTTCGTTTTGGAGAGCGTTAAGGGATCCGATTGCGCCATCGTCCGCTGTACAATGCCCTCCTGCAGCGCATCTGCAGAACAACAAAGGCCATTAACGTCTCCCTCGAGATTCCTCTCCAACTGCTCGCTATCTAGAGGTTCCCCGATATTTCCAAGAAGAGTAGAGGATATCCGGAAGCTCATCGAATAACGAGAGCGGTGCCTTGCGTCTCGGCTACCAATCCCCGAGAGGTACAACGGGCTTACACTCAGCTTGTCCCACAGGTACAATCAAAGAAATTGCACCGAACAGCATGAGCCACCGAACGCTTAGCAAGAGCAGTGAAGTGGCCGTTAACTTTCTCCTCCATACCACATCAATTTCCTGGTCGAGGGTTATAAGGAACTCGTATATGACTGAGCCTAGCGAGGAGATTAATGAGACCACTTATGGCGGAGTTTGATGACCCCAATATATACCCGTTACCGAGTATCCCACATAGCTCCGTGTCAAACTACGCACATGCGAAAGCCATCAGCGAAAGGCCGGGAATCTGCTAAGAAAGAGAAAGAGCGTAGAATTCTTGTAGCTCTTGGCTCATGCTGTCATTCAACTGTGCCATGTCGTCTGCAATAAGGAGGTGCAGGGAAGTCAGTGTAGAGAGAGGAGTTCGCCGGCAAGCCATATATATTGCGGCATATATGCTCCCCGGTGCAGAAGGAGTTAGCTCGTACCACCAATTTTCAACAGCCATTGGTAGTGATGGTCTGTAACGAGGCATCAGATGCATGTGTCGCCTTGAGCGAGACCTGCAGCTTGACATAGCTTTGCTTCAGTTTGAGGAATACATACAATCGCGAGCCAGCACTTGCACGGACTACGACTCAGTTGAGGCATGTTTCCATCTCAGCAGCCAGCCCCATGCCGACCATCAACATGCCGGCTCAGTTGCTTCAGTCATTCAGCTTTCTAAAATCCCGCGATGACAATTTCGAGTGTAATGATCATCTTACGGAGAGGAATGCATCCGAGGGTCGCTATGGCTCCGCCTTGGCCGCTCTCATGCTTCGCCAGGCTACTATCACTATTCAGCCTTTCAGAGGGGGTGCATACCAACTGATCGGCGGCACACATCCCCTGTGCACACATGCAACAAAGATTTATCGATCAGCAACCGCCCGTAATCGGACCGAGCTAGCGGACACCGGGTATGCGGACACCGTGCGACAGCCTTCGCGCATCTGACGCTCGCTCAATTGAGTTCAGCGATGGCTCTAGCATACGAGCTGGGTGTGCGACCGTTCACAGCCCGGAGCCATCTACTGAGGCTCACGACGAGAGCATTTGAATAGAGCTCCGCCATCGTGAGCATGGCGCAGGCGTAGTACGCAGGGTGTGGCTGCTGCGCGAAGAGTTAAAGATCCATCGAGTGTTGCTATAAACGCTGTGTTGTCATCGTTGAGAAGTACCAGTTATGAGAGCATCACGGTCATGCACAGGAGCCGTCGACGTACATCAGATGCCATCACGGCAGGGAAACTTGATGCTGCGGCGTCATGGTGCTACAGTTCCACAAACGTCCTACAAATGGCACTTTAAACGCAAGCACCCATCAGTTATGCATCTCCAAACAGATTTTTCGGAGTACAAACTCCACAGATCTGAAGAGACGTGGTGGGCCATGCGAAGGCCAGAACCGGGATCCTTTGTCAAAGTGACCGGGTACAGCCAGCCCAGCAGAGGCGCTGATATCGCTGCATGTTAACACTATTGTTGATAACATACCACACAAGAATCTCCTCGAAAGAATTTCGAGTGGAGAAGACGGTATACCGTGTGCAGAGTGAGTACTTTACTCACCGACAACCGCCTTTCAAACGTTTGGATGCGTTGGGCGAGGGATTGTACTCGACCGCAGCCCGCATTCACATAAAAAGAAATCGAATGGCTTGAGGATTACTCAGTCGTCGATTTGACTCGTCGTAGACACTGGCTCGCTGTTTCAATACAAGAGGATCCGACGCTTATCCTAAATCACGTGAAGATTTCGGCTGTAACCGAGCGCCACAAAGCGAGCGTCGCTCATTTCTTTTGTCTCATCTTCGCCACTAAACCTGACCGCCGCACCATATCACGAGCCATAATATGGTGTAGTCTTGTGATTTGATGGATTTGGGGCACGTGTCTGCCATTTTCACGCTCGCTTACCCTTCTAGGCTACGTCGAGCCAAGCCTTGAGCCCGGCCCAAGCTGTGGACTTGCCTACAATGTGGTGAGTATTTCAATACTACAAGAAGTGAATCTAGCTGCATGTA